GCAACAACAAAGCTGTCAATCCTACCTGAGAAAAGCCAACAACACACCTGTCAACCCTACCTGAGAACAGGCAACAACATGCCTGTCAACAATACCTGAGAACAGCCAACAACACGCCTGTCAATCCTACCCGAGAACAGGCGACAACACGCCTGTCAATCCTACCTGAGAACAGGCAACAACACGCCTGTCACACCTGTCAACCCTACCTGAGAACAGGCAACAACAAAGCTGTCAACCCTACCTGAGAACAGGCAACAACACGCCTGTCAATCCTACCCGAGAACTGGCAACACCACGCCTGTCAACCCTACCCGAGAACTGGCAACACCACGCCTTTCACACCTGTCGATCCTACCCGAGAACAGGTAACACCACGCCTGTCAACCCTACCTGAGAACAGGAAACAACAAAGCTGTCAATCCTACCTGAGAACAGCCAACAACACGCCTGTCAATCCTAGCCGAGAACAGGTAACAACACGCCTGTCAATCCTAGCCGAGAACAGGTAACACCACGCCTGTCAACCCTACCTGAGAACAGGCAACAACAAAGCTGTCAATCCTACCTGAGAAAAGCCAACAACACACCTGTCAACCCTACCTGAGAACAGGCAACAACACGCCTGTCAACCCTACCTGAGAACAGCCAACAACACGCCTGTCAACCCTACCTGAGAACAGCCAACAACACGCCTGTCAATCCTACCCGAGAACAGGCAACAACACGCCTGTCAATCCTACCCGAGAACAGGCAACAACGCGCCTTTCACTCCTGTCAATCCTACCCGAGAACAGGCAACAACACGCCTGCCAATCCTACCCGAGAACAGGCAACACCACGCCTGTCAACCCTACCTGAGAACAGGCAACAACACGCCTGTCAATCGTACCTGAGAACAGGCAACACCACGCCTGTCAATCCTACCCGAGAACAGGTAACACCACGCCTGTCAACCCTACCTGAGAACAGGCAACAAACAAAGCTGTCAATCATACCTGAGAACAGGCAACAACACGCCTGTCAATCCTACCCGAGAACAGGTAACAACACGCCTGTCAATCATACCTGAGAACAGGCAACAACACGCCTGTCAATCCTACCCGAGAACAGGCGACAACACGCCTGTCAATCCTACCCGAGAACAGGCGACAACACGCCTGTCAATCCTATCCGAGAACAGATAACAACACACCTGCCAATCCTACCTGAGAACAGGCAACAACAAAGCTGTCAATCCTGTCTGAGAACAGGCAACACCACGCCTGTCAATCCTATCTATCGTTAACAATGCTCCATCATTTATTTTGTTGTGTTTATAAATTCCACACTTTACCGTAATATTTCCACCAGAAAACGGCGCTTTGCACCGCAGTGAAGCTAGTTTTTCGTTGAAGATTCCACATCTATCGAACATCTGACGTCAAACTAATATCCAACTTCCTAACTAACTTCCTCGTGGTCCATTCTTCCACATATGCTGGTGTTGCGGAGAAAAAACAATCGTGGAGGAGAGTCAAGTTCACTCAGAACTGGATAACACTGAACAGGCTAAAAGCTAAAACCAGGAGCTCATACCAAAGACAGAAGTCTGGTGAGCCAAGCAACATTATTCCAGTCAAGATGTGTGTGTCAGGTAACGTTAAATGACCCGCCCACGGACATTCAGTTTACTTTCTAGATCACCAAGACATGCTCTTGTTGTGATGTTAGCTGTAGCAGACGGAGAGCTGTGAGTGTCGCTGTCTGGAGCTGCTCTGGACTCGTCCTCTCATCTTAGCTTTGCAGCAGCAAGTAGCAACAGAACCCACAACCTAGCTAACGTTAGTTACATTACTTGCTGCGTTTGTCATGTTATTGGATTTATCCAGAATTGCATAAGTTACCCACCTTATGATGCAGTGAGATATCATGAGTTAATGTTGGAAATTAACTCAGTAACAGGAACTCATGAGATTTTATTGAATTTGCAAAACATGTTGTATATCAGGTTCTATATCGCTCAGCCCTAGCGCACACTGGTGGATGTTTGAGTCTCCCACACCAAAGCCATGTGTGTCTTGTCCACCACATTTATTTATTTATCCATGGCGGACAAACAAGCCAAACTTCGTCTACAAATGTATATTTTTTTTGTCATTTTTTCAGTTAGAACTTTGAAAAGTTGGTGAGAACTGACCACCGAACGATCTCATCAGCCCGTGACTGTAACCAACCAAAGTCTGCTCGGTTTGATTTCTGAGGCGTCCGTTATCCATTTGCCTTCAACAGGTAACGTTAGCGAGAGAGGCAAGACGGCGTGCTGACGTCACACATTGCAGTGCGTGCTGCCCTAAAAGGTTGTTCTTAGAAGACGCCTTCACTCGACAGTTGGGCCTTCTGGAGGCGCCTGTCTGTTACTGCGCCGAGGCGGCTGCCTTCTGTGAGCCCTACTGCGTCCTCACCTCGTCCTTTGCTGTTGGAGAAACATTTGAAGATGACCATCCTCATGTCCAGACCTTCCTGGATCCAGATCTTGTTCATGATCCGGATCACCTGCAGAGTCAGCATATCCTGCCGCAGGTCGTCTCCTGACTGGACGGAGACATCAGACGGGGTCAAAGGTCAGTTTGAATTTAAACCAGAATTGACTCAGGCTCAGAGGTGAACCAGGTTTACCTTGAAGATGATGTTGATGTTGTCTCCCAAAGGGTCCAGGTTTTTAAAGGACAGTTTGAGAGGGACGGCGTTGGAGTTGAAGAAGGAACACGACTATAAAAGATAGAGAAGAAGAGAAAAGTCACTGCATCACCAATCAGAGCTGAACACGATCACCTATATGAGACCAGATCTATAATTCAGACACATTTCATTGGCCCAGCACACGGCGTGAAGAGGTACAGACGAGAACTGTGAGCGTCACAAACCCACTCAAGAGTCGTACCTCTGGCAAATCACAGGCGGGAAACAGATTTTTAGATTCAGTGCGACTTCCCCGAGGATTTCGGTATCTCTCAAAAGAGAATCAGTTAATCTGCTGAGAAACCAGAGAGAGACGCTGCAGAACCTCCTGAGAATCTTCATGTTTTTAAATTTCCTTCAGCATCTCAGTGATCCAGTGACAGCTGTCTGTTCATCCATGCTAACTGCTAACAAGAACCGCTAACATCAGCAGGTAACAGGAGCCGCTAACAGGGGCCGCTAACATCAGCTGCTAACAGGAAGAGCTAATTGGAGCCGCAAACATCAGCAGCAAACAGGAGCCGCAAACATCAGCTGCTAACAGGAAGAGCTAATTGGAGCCGCTAACATCAGCAGCAAACAGGAGCCACTAACAGGAGCTGCTAACATCAGCTGCTAACAGGAAGAGCTAACCAGAGCCGCTAACATCAGCAGCAAATAGGATCCGCAAACATCAGCAGCTAACAGGAGCCGCAAACATCAGCTGCTAACAGGAAGAGCTAACCGGAGCCGCTAACATCAGCAGCAAATAGGATCCGCTAACATCAGCAGCAAACAGGAGCCGCAAACATCAGCTGCTAACAGGAAGAGCTAACCGGAGCCGCTAACAACAGAAAGAGCTAACAGGAGCCGCTAACATCAGCAGCTAACAGGAGCTGCTAACATCAGCTGCTAACAGGAAGAGCTAACAGGAGCCGCTAACATCAGCAGCAAACAGTAGCCGCTAACAGGAGCTGCTAACATCAGCTGCTAACAGGAAGAGCTAACCGGAGCCGCTAACATCAGCAGCAAATAGGAGCCGCTAACATCAGCTGCTAACAGGAACAGCTAACAGGAGCTGCTAACATCAGCAGCAAACAGGAGCCGCTAACATCAGCAGCAAACATCAGCTGCTAACAGGAAGAGCTAACAGGAGCCGCTAACATCAGCAGCAAATAGGAGCCGCTAACATCAGCAGCAAACAGTAGCCACTAACAGGAGCTGCTAACATCAGCTGCTAACAGGAAGAGCTAACCGGAGCCGCTAACATCAGCAGCAAATAGGAGCCACTAACATCAGCTGCTAACAGGAAGAGCTAACCGGAGCCGCAAACATCAGCGGCAAACAGTAGCCGCTAACATCAGCGGCAAACAGTAGCCGCTAACATCAGCGGCAAACAGTAGCCGCTAACATCAGCAGCAAACAGTAGCCGCTAACATCAGCAGCAAACAGTAGCCGCTAACAACAGAAAGAGCAAACAGTAGCCGCTAACATCAGCAGCAAACAGTAGCCGCTAACATCAGCAGCAAACAGGAGCCGCTAACATCAGCAGCAAACATCAGCTGCTAACAGGAAGAGCTAACAGGAGCCGCTAACATCAGCAGCAAATAGGAGCCGCTAACATCAGCAGCTAACAGGAGCCGCTAACATCAGCAGCAAACAGTAGCCGCTAACAGGAGCTGCTAACATCAGCTGCTAACAGGAAGAGCTAACCGGAGCCGCAAACATCAGCAGCAAACAGTAGCCGCTAACATCAGCAGCAAACAGTAGCCGCTAACATCAGCAGCAAACAGTAGCCGCTAACATCAGCAGCAAACAGTAGCCGCTAACAACAGAAAGAGCAAACAGTAGCCGCTAACATCAGCAGCAAACAGTAGCCGCTAACATCAGCTGCAAACAGTAGCCTCTAACATCAGCTGCAAACATCAGCAGCAAACAGGAGCCGCTAACAGGAAGAGCTAACATCAGCAGCAAACAGGAGCCGCTAACAGGAGCCGCTAACAGGAGCCTCTAACATCAGCAGCAAATAGGAGCTGGTTAACACCAGCTGCTAACAAGAGGAACTAACAGCTAATTCAGCCATTTTTAATGGGGCCATTTTGACTAAATAAATATGGTTACCAAATCCTTTATACTTACTGTTTACATCCCCAAAAGCATCATGGGAGCTGTAGTTCTCCCAAACAGAAGTAAGACAAAGAATGACAACAGGAGAGACTCAATATATTAATACTGACTGATTATTAAAAACACTGACTGTCCTCTCATATACAGATGTTTACTCTGTGTGTGTGTGTGTGTGTGTGTGTGTGTGTGTGTGTGTGTGGGGGGGGGGGGGGGTCTTTAATCTGCTGCTCCAGCGCCCCCACCAGGATGAAAGGAGCTGCAACATGAGAGCTGACACTGGAGTTTTGAGGAGTTTTCTTCAGTATGAAACACGTCTGTCCTCCGGTGGAAGACTTGGCTTGGGGCGGCTGTTCCGCAGTGAGTGAATGTGTATGACTGGTGAACGCAGATGTAGTGTAAAAGCGCATTGAGTGGTCGAAAAAGACTAGAAAAGCGCTATACAAATACGGAGCATTTACATTTACTTGTCCATGTGACAAGACGTGGACACGAGGCAGAGAGGAACACCTGTGTGTGAGGTGAGCAGTCAGCAGGTGTGTTACAGGTGAGTCTGCTTCAGTACCTGGATGTTGATTCCTGAGACGAGCAGCGCCGGGTTCAGAGGAAGTCTGCAGCTGCTGTTCACTGAGAAGAACTGCTTCATCTCCTCCAGACCCTCCCTGAGGACACACTGAGACACACAGAGACAGACACACACAGATTAGGTGGTAAGTGACTGACTGTAGATCAACGAGCTGCTGCCCTCCGCTGGACTGGTACTGAACTGTACTGTTCATGATTTAAGTCAGTGAAAAATAATAAACTGCTACTACTGTTTATTGATTATTTATATTAATCAATCAGGGACATGTATATATGTACGCATGTGTATCCAGTATTCTAATAATAATAATCTCTACTGGCATTTAGGTCAGTTTGTTCTTTGTAAAAGAAAAATAACCAAATAGATGTGAAACTATGAATCGATTGTAATATTTTAATAATCAATTCATTGTTTAACGTTTCCTCCTGTTTTGTGTCAGTAAACTGAATCTCTGGATGATCTCTGGAGACATTTGAAGATGTAACTTTGGATATTTTCTGTACATTTAAGATCAATTCATAATTTTTCCAGGTGATTTCCAGAAATGAAAAGCTAGTGCAAATTTTTCCAGGATGCCTGGGATTCCTGGATTTACTTCATGTGTCCTGTAATTAGGTGGTTTTTAGTACCCAGCACCCTCCCCACCTGTCTGTTGGACGGGTTGGCATCTCGGACTTTGTGAGCCACCGTGGCAAGAACGGAGACGAGCCAGGACTGGCGGTCGAACTCGTCACGGAGACCTCGACCGGCGCAGCAGAGCAGAGCGGCGAGGAGGTGCTGATAGCGACCGCTGAACTGACTGTCCTGCAGGTTGTCCTTCAGCAGCCTGAGAGACGGACACAATCAATTCAACCACTGATCACTGTGGGGGGGCGAGAGACCATTGATCACTGTGGGCGAGAGAGCTGATCTGCACTGGAGGAGGACCGACCCTGATGAGGGATAAGACTCAGTCATCAGATCACATCCAGATGAGGATTAAGACTCTGTCAGATACATATCTGCTGATCACAAATCAATCGATCGATCGATCCGTCTTTGTTTTCTGGGTGGGTCCCCCTCCTGATGGAGGCCAGACTGATCAGGATCAGATAAACCCCAACAGCTGATTTCAGGGTTACTTTATCTGTTGATGTCAGAGGGGACTCGTGCGTCTTGGACGAGTTCACATTTTAATCAGATCAGATAATTATCTATCAGATCAATATCGGATCAATCGATAGCTTCTGTTCTGCCCAGGAGACAGATCAGAGTCTTTAATCTGATCTGGATTTGATCCGAGTCTGCTGAGCTGACGAACCAGTCTCCTGCCTGCACGGACCGAGTTCACCTGTCGAACTCAGGTAAAAGATTCATTAAAGCCAGCAACACCAACGGACAGTAACCAGATCAGCGCTCCCGTCCTCTGTGTGGTTCTGACCAGAAGAGGTAGTGGGCGATCCGAACGTCCCCGATGGCTCTGCGGAGGAGGAACCGGACCAGAGAGCTGTCCAGGTAACACTCGTACTTCACAGCCTGAGACACAAACAGACAGCAGGAGACATCAGGATGAGATCATTCATTCATTTCTGCTCAAACAGCTGTGTGGTCATATCCTGAGCGAGGACGTCCAACTTCAGAGTAACAACGCTGTTCATCTCCTGCTACGCTCCAGTCAATAAAACGTCCCGCACAGAAGTTTCACATTAAAAGCCTCCCTGGAAAATGAAGGACTGCGACCTTTGACGTACTGGAAGGCTTTTAATGTGAAACATCTGGAAGTTTCACTTTCAGCCTGAGCCCGACGGGGCCTGACTTGTTTACGCTCCTGGGGCCAGGCTTTGGGCCAATTTTCATGTCACAGCTCACACACTGGCATCAAGGCTTCTCCTTTACATGCTTTAGACATCCATCAGTTAAAAGAAGCCAGAAGAAGTTGAGGAAGTAGAAGATGAAACGATGACACCGTCACAGAGAGAGACTGGGCGTCGGGCTGCGGCGTTACGAGGCGTTTGGGATTAAACCATTGGCCATGTTCTGTGCTGAAGCCTTGGTTTTTGGATGCATAGCCAGGTGAGACAACCTGCATGTATTATATTATTATTTTAATCAATTATCACAATTCATTAATCTGATAACATCTTATCTCCATATCTTGGGGCGGCTGTGGCTCAGGAGGTAGAGCGGGTTGGCCGGTAATCGGAAGGTCAGCGGTTCAATCCCTGGCTCCCTCTGGTTGCATGTCGAGTATGAATGAGTGTGAATGCTAGTTTCCGTTTGAGCACTTAGGCTCAGTGTATGAGTGTATTGATAAGGAACAGCTAACTGGTGCCATTTGTATTGACCTTTCTAAGGCTTATTATATTATATTAATTCAATTTTCAATTCAATTTTATTTATATAGCGCCAAATCACAACAACAGTTATCTCACAGCGCTTTTCATAAAGAGCAGGTCTAGACCGTACTCTGTGATGATATTTACAGAAGCCCAACAGTTCCCACCAAGAGCAGCACTAGGAGACAGAGGCAAGGAAAAACTTCCTTTAAGAGGCAGAAACCTCGAGCAGAACCATGGCTCAGGGTGGGCGGCCATCTGCCTCCACCGGTTGGGGGTGTATTACATTCATTACATTCTGCTTGATAAGCTTCGGTTCGAATTGGTTTTAACCAAAGTGCTCTGTTATGGTTTAATTCTTCTCTCCACTACAGACAGCAGTGTGTTGCTTTTCAAGGTTCCTTGTCTCCTGTATTTATTGATTGATGAGGGGGTTCCTCAAGGTTCCTCTAGGACCCCTTCTGTTCTCGATCTTCATTAATGATTTATGTTGCATCTGTTCCATCTATAAGGTTCATCTTTAGGCTGATGATGCTGTGATTTATACTGCTGATTCTGATATCCAGAACAAATTACAAGCTGACTTTGTTGTGAAAATGGCTTCACAATAACAAATTATTGTTGAACATAAGATAAAGTCTTGTTGTATGTTGTCTGGGACGAAGCACAGACGACCTCCAGCTCTCAATTTGCATCTCTATTTTGAAGATGGGTCTCCGGTGGAGAAATTTATGGACCTTGGGATGTGGACTGACCCTGAGCTTACCGTTAAACCTCACATTGACTGAAGAACATATGGCTCTCTCAGCTCACTCTGTTCTGTTGTTTCCCATCTGAACTCAGGAAAAGTTGATATTGCCCATTATTGACTACGCTGACATCATCTACATGAACACTGTTCTTAAGCCACTTAATGAGGTCTTTAACTCTCTGTGAGGAGTTGGCCCGAAGTCTCCTTTTTAAACTCATCATTGTGTAATTTATAAATCACTCCATTGGCTGCAGCTTAGTTCAAGAATAGAGTTCCAGTTTATATTCATTTGTCCTCCATATCTCTCGGTCCCTTGTAGTTCTGCATCTCCTCTCAGAGATTTGAAATATCTTGTTTTCACTGTACCAGGAATCTTCTCTGCTGCTGGACGTAAGGCTTTTCATTACAGGCTGCTTGTGATTGGAACGACCTCCCTTTTTCTTTGCGATCCATCACGTCTTTTCGCAGATTTATGTTTTCTATATTTCACTCTCTTAATAAACTGGGTGCAAGTTACTGATGCCGGCAATCGATTGATCCCATAACATCATACATACATTCTCAGACTCAACAGTATTGCTTGAAATGCGTTTCCTGCATCATCTAAACGATTTAACTCCGGTGGATTCGGTTTGTTTTTCTGTTTTTACTGTGGGCGAGTCAGGTGGTGATTTGAGAGGCTAACTTGATCAAACGTGTGGTTAACTCAATGTCGGCCGCTTGGTCAACACCTTAAAAACCAAAAACCTTCATTTAATCAGGCGTCACCTGGACCAGCTGGGGCAGGAAGTCCAGCAGTTCTGGATCTGAGATGGAGTCCATCCACTGAACAGCCGTCCTCCTCAGCTCCTGGTCCGGGAACCTGAAAAACACACGATGATGTCACTCAGGTTATCACGATGTCGTCACTCAGGTGAGTTTCAGCGTACAGGGACGTACGAGGCGTGAAGGAGTCCCAGGGCGTCCAGGTGACCCAGGCAGGTCCACTGTCTCAGCAGGGCGTAGATGTCAGGCAGGCAGGCCCACTGCCAGCAGGGGGCGCTGGCCAGAACCAGAGGCAGCGCCGCGCTCTCTGACTGACAGAAGGCCTTCTTCTCCCACAGCAGGCGCCGGTCCTCCGCCGTCAGCCTGCACACACAAACACTGAGGGGTCAAGACCACAAGGACAAAACCTGACCGTCCCCACAGAGTCTCAGGATCTTAAACGTGTCACATGAGTGTCTCTGACCAGAAGACCGCCTTCTTGTGGAGGACGTCCTGCAGCTGGATCTGACTGACGGCGTCCAGTCTGGAGAAGTCGTACTGAGGACAGAAGTCTGCCGGAGGAGGGGTGCTGAACCGGACCTCGAAGGACGAGGTGGGAAAGTCCACCTGAGAGAGAGAGCAGTCAGAGGTGAGATACAGATGCTTGTTGTGTTGTGACCTTTTTAAAATGAAGTGATGTGATCAGGTTTTGTCCTCCGTCTGGACACCAGAGTGACTGAGAAGAGACCAAGAGACCGAAACAAATCCTCTGACCCGGCTCCTGCTCCGGTGCTCACTAACACAGATTTAGGCAGATTTGTTAACAATATTTGAGAGAAATAGGCCTTTTGTGTACACAGAGAAAGATATTTGAGTTCAGCTCAGGATGAACGGGGGCAAAAACAAAAGCGTTGCCTTCATAATTTTGTTCAGTGTGTTTATATATATAATCTTAATGAAGGCAGACGGAGCAGCTGGTCATCAGTTGATCCTCCAGTGAAATAAAGGAACAAAACTCCTTCATTTAAATGTTGATTTTAGATGTGAAAATGTAAACGTTGTTTTTAAATTTGGTACCATTTAAGGTTTTTAACTGGACTTGATAGATTTACAGAAGAACTACAAACATGGCGGCTGCTCTAAAGCTTTGGCCGGTAGTGGACATCATGCCAAACACATGAACACATATTTTAATCTGAATGTTTTCTTGCTGAATAAATATAAAAACTCGATTCAGTAACAACAGTGTCACTAAAGAAATCCTCGGCCGTCACTGCTGCTGGGTGTGAAATGCATTCTGGGATACTGCAGGTCATTTGCACTGAACTTGGACCCAGACGGAGTGAGACCTCCCGTCTCACCTGCAGGATCACGCTGTCGGGCTGGCTGAAGTTCGGCGAGCTCGTCCGGGCGTTTCCGCTCCTCCCCGGCGCTGAAGGCCACAGGCCGAGCAACTTCCTGCCGCACGTCAGGACGCTGCAGACACACACACACACACACACACACCTGTCAGTCCACACACACTTCCTGTTTCCTGCTGTGGAGGAAACGACATCATAAAGGCTCAGCTGGAAGGTGTCGGACTGAAGGAAGGAAAGTGAGTAACTCGTGTTCCTGTCTCATGCCTGTTTGCTAAATATGAAGCTGCACAGAGACAGGAAACAGATCCTCCTCCCTGACAGCTCAGGTCAGCGTCACATGACTCACTGTCTGAAGTTGAAGAGCGGCATGGTGACCCAGCCCAGGGCCTCGATGCTGCGGCGCTGCTTCCCCTTCTCCTCAGCTCCTCCGGGGGGCGGCAGAGAGCTGGCGTACAGCGTCACGGTCAGCTGGGACTCTCTGGGCAGCTGATTGATCTGCACCGGGAAACAGACCCTGCAGGGACAGAGGGGGGGGGGGCTGATCACATTCTGGGAACAAACCATATTTGCAGGACAGGAAGTGTCCACATACGTTTGGCCATGTAGAGACACAGACCAACGTTTGTGTGTTTTACTTCTTCTCATACAGGCGTCTTATTACAGGTGTGTGCAGGGGAGGCTGTGATGTCATCGCTGACGGGTGGGGGCACCTACCTCTGGTCCCACACCACCAGGTGGAACAGGTATTTGCTGACCGACTGTTTGCTGGTGTGCTGCGGCGCGCAGAGCTCCTCCCCTCCATGAGTCAGAGAGCAGGACAGGAAGAAACCCTCGTAACTGACCAATCAGAGAGCAGAACAGGGACGTCATGACATGATACCTGCTGAACGCCAGCATGTTAGCATATTAGCATTGTAACCCTGCTGCAGCAACACGGAGCTCAGGGCGAAGAGCTGCAACCGTTGGTCGACTGATCGATTAGTTTTCAACTATTAAATTAATCTGCAACTATTTTGATAATCGATTAATTGCTTTGAGTAACTTTTTAAGAAAAGAAAGTTCAAATTCTCTGATTCAGCTTCTTAAATGTGAACATTTTCCCCTCTGTGGCAGGAAACTGTCATTTGAGGACGTCCTCTGGAGCTCTGGGAAACACTGATCACCATTTTATAAATCAAACGACTAATCAATCAATAAAACAAGAGACAGATTAATCGACTATGAATTTAATGGTTATTTGCAGCCCGAGAGTTGCAGCAGCCTGCAGGTGGCGCTACAGCTCCAGCAAGTTACAGTCTCCGTCCACAGATTCCCCAGGTGAGGCCGAATACCTGTGAGGCCGTTCCACCACACAGGATTCTTCTAGCTGCGTCTCTTAAAGGTCTCTTTAACGGCTGACAGCAACCAACCAAAACTGTGACGAAGCGCTTCATCTTTTCTAAAAGATCATTTATTTTAAGTCTTAATCTGTTAAACGAGAGCGGAGCAGGAAGAAGGCAAGCGATGGAGTGTGCTGCTGACGGGCAGGTGTCAGGCGACGCAGGCGGCCCCGCCTCCTCTCGGGTCAAAGGTCAGGTCTGGTTCCCAGGCGGCGCTTTGTGCCAGCACAGAGTGTGTTACAGGGGGAGGGGCGGCAGCTCTTTGTGTCAGGATCCACACAGATCTGTGCTGCTCTGAGATCAGCTGAATCATCAGCTCTTCACAGGAACTCTGCAGCCTGCAGGGGGCGCCGCAGCCCCTCCCACACCCACAGGACAGCAGCGTGTCTCTCTGTGTGTGTCTCTCTCTCTCTGTCTGTCTGTGTGTCTCTCTATCTGTGTGTGTGTCTGTCTGTCTCTGTGTGTCTCTCTCTCTCTGTCTGTCTCTGTGTGTCTGTGTGTCTCTCTCTCTGTCTCTGTGTGTCTCTGTCTCTGTGTGTCTGTCTCTGTCTCTCTCTGTGTGTGTCTGTCTCTGTCTCTGTATGTGTCTGTGCGTCTCTGTGTCTGTGTGTCTCTGTGTGTCTGTCTCTCTCTGTCTGTGTGTGTCTCTGTGTCTCTGTCTCTCTCTGTCTGTGTGTGTCTCTGTGTCTCTGTGTGTGTCTGTCTCTGTCTCTGTGTCTCTGTGCGTCTCTGTGTCTGTGTGTCTCTGTCTCTGTGTGTCTGTCTCTCTCTGTCTGTGTGTGTCTCTGTGTGTGTCTGTCTCTGTCTGTGTCTCTCTCTCAGTGTGTGTCTGTCTCTGTATGTGTCTTTGTGTCTCTGTGCGTCTCTGTCTCTGTGTCTCTGTCTGTGTCTCTCTCTCAGTGTGTGTCTGTCTCTGTATGTGTCTTTGTGTCTCTGTGCGTCTCTGTCTCTGTGTCTGTGTGTCTCTGTCTCTGTGTGTCTGTCTCTGTGTCTCTCTCTCTCTGCCTGTCTCTCTGTCTCTGTCTCTCTCTGTCTGTGTGTGTCTGTGTCTCTGTGTGTGTCTCTGTCTCTATCTCTCTCTGTGTGTGTCTGTCTCTGTCTGTGTCTCTCTCTCTGTGTGTGTCTGTCTCTGTGTCTCTGTATGTGTCTCTGTGTCTGTGTGTTTCTGTCTCTGTGTGTCTCTGTCTCTGTGTGTCTCTGTCTCTCTGTCTCTCTGTGTGTCTCTGTCTCTCTCTGTCTCTGTGTGTGTCTGTCTGTGTGTCTGTGTGTGTCTCTGTCTCTGTGTGTGTCTCTGTCTCTCTCTGTCTCTGTGTGTCTCTGTCTGTGTGTCTGTGTGTGTCTCTGTCTCTGTGTGTCTCTGTCTCTCTCTGTGTGTCTCTGTCTCTCTCTGTCTGTCTCTCTGTCTGTGTGTCTGTGTGTGTCTCTGTCTCTCTGTGTGTCTCTGTCTCTCTCTGTCTCTGTGTGTGTCTGTCTGTGTGTCTGTGTGTGTCTCTGTCTCTGTGTGTGTCTCTGTCTCTCTCTGTCTGTGTGTCTGTGTGTGTCTCTGTCTCTCTGTGTGTCTCTGTCTCTCTCTGTCTCTGTGTCTCTGTGTGTGTCTCTGTCTCTCTCTGTCTCTGTGTCTCTGTGTGTGTCTCTGTCTCTCTCTGTCTGTGTGTCTGTGTGTGTCTCTGTCTCTCTGTGTGTCTCTGTCTCTGTGTGTGTCTGTCTGTGTGTCTGTGTGTGTCTCTGTCTCTCTGTGTGTCTCTGTCTCTCTCTGTCTCTGTGTGTCTCTGTCTCTCTGTGTGTCTCTGTCTCTCTCTGTCTCTGTGTCTCTGTGTGTGTCTCTGTCTCTCTCTGTCTCTGTGTCTCTGTGTGTGTCTCTGTCTCTCTCTGTCTGTGTGTCTGTGTGTGTCTCTGTCTCTCTGTGTGTCTCTGTCTCTCTCTGTCTCTGTGTCTCTGTGTGTGTCTGTCTGTGTGTCTGTGTGTGTCTCTGTCTCTCTGTGTGTCTCTGTCTCTCTCTGTCTCTGTGTCTCTGTGTGTCTCTGTCTCTGTCTGTCTCTGTCTCTGTCTCTCTCTGTGTGTCTCTCTCTGTGTGTCTCTGTCTCTCTCTGTCTGTCTCTGTCTCTGTCTCTCTCTGTCTGTCTCTGTCTCTGTGTCTCTCTCTGTGTGTCTCTGTCTCTGTGTCTCTGTCTCTGTGTGTCTCTGTCTCCCTCTGTGTGTCTCTGTCTCTGTGTCTCTGTCTCTGTGTCTCTGTCTCTGTGTGTCTCTGTCTCTCTCTGTGTCTCTCTGTGTCTCTCTGTGTCTCTGTCTCTCTCTGTGTGTCTCTGTCTCTGTCTCTGTCTCCCTCTGTGTGTCTCTGTCTCTCTCTGTGTGTCTCTGTCTCTCTGTGTGTCTCTGTCTCTGTCTCTGTCTCCCTCTGTGTGTCTCTGTCTCTCTCTGTGTGTCTCTGTCTCTCTCTGTCTCTGTGTGTGTCTGTACCTGGCGGCCCAGGTGATGGGGATGCGGTGAGCAGCGTGCACGCTGAAGGAGAGCACGTTGGTGACGAGGCCGGCCTCCTGCACCGGCGCCGTGCAGCAGTGACTCTGCGGCGTCGTGTGGAAGTTGGCGTTGAACGTGCTGCAGTACAGCTCCACCAGATCCAAGATGGCCGCCGTCAACTTCTCCACCACTTTCTCTGTGAAAGGAAGAAATGAGGTTTTTAACTGTGAACATCTTCATGAATAATAACTGAGAACGACTTCAGTGATCCGGGATCTTTACAACTGATCAGCCTCAGAAACACCACAGGCTGTCCCTGGGAGATGAAGCTTCACCATTGGTCGGTCCAGTGATGGAGTGTCCCCCCATTGGCTGTCCTTTCATAATGAGCAGGTGGAACAGCCCTTAGCTCCGCCCTCTGGAGGCTGCGAGCTTTGTTTCTGCTCGTGCGAGACGCCATGGCCTTTGCAGATACGTGAGCTACGAGCCTCACAGATTTTAACCGGACGAGCTTTCTCGTCTTGCGGGACACCGGTGTACACCGTGACAGTAATGAAGTGAACCCTCTCTCGCACTGTGAGTCCAGACAACTTGTGATCGAGCAGCGACGTAGCTGCTGGGGTTTTAAAATCTAAACTTATAAAAACAGAAGCAGCCATGTTCTGTTTGGGAGTGTGAGCTGCACTTTATCAGAGCTGCTGAAGTGAACATGTGGTGAGATTCTGCTGATCACAAGTGTTTCAGACAGTTTCACTTTCCAGACGTCTGAAGGGGAAACTTCCATTTCTCATTGAGGTGAAAAGGAGCCACAGTCACATTTAAAGAGGTCACTTCCCCAAACAGAGACACAAACAGGAGGGAAGGCTAAATCCTGACTCAGCAGATATTAAATAAGTTGATTTACAGGAGAAATAGATCTGAGAGCAGCTCTGACTCAGAGTCTGGTAGAGTTTAAATTGTCACCTGGATTCTGTTTCCCTTTATATAAACCAAAACATTTCCACAAGAAAATGAAGCAGAAAAATTCACCAGAATACAGGAAATTAACTGTTTGATGCCCAAAATGTTCATACTACTCAGCCTGATATCTTTAAAATAGTGTTCTCGTCACACCGCTGGACGTAATCTTAGAACTACAGTGAGGAAAATAAGTATTTGAACACCCTGCTATTTTGCAAGTTCTCCCACTTAGAAATGATGGAGGGGTCTGAAATTGTCATCGTAGGTGCATGTCCACTGTGAGAGACATAATCTAAAAAAGAAAATCCAGAAATCACAATGTATGATTTTTTAACTATTTATTTGTATGATACAGCTGCAAATAATCTAGATCTTGCATGGAGCCCCGGTCCGAGGGAGACCGACAGTCATGTTTAGCTTCTTCCATTTTCTAATGATTGCTCCAACAGTGGACCTTTTTTCACCAAGCTGCTTGGCAATTTCCCCGTAGCCCTTTCCAGCCTTGTGGAGGTGGACAATTTTGTCTCTAGTGTCTTTGGACAGCTCTTTGGTCTTGGCCATGTTGGTAGTTGGATTCTTACTGATTGTATGGGGTGGACAGGTGTCTTTATGCAGCTAATGACCTCAAACAGGTGCATCTAATGTAGGATAATAAATGGAGTGGAGGTGGACATTTTGAAGGCAGACTAACAGGTCTTTGGGAGTCAGAATTCTAGCTGATAGACAGGTGTTCAAATACTTATTTGCAGCTGTATCATACAAATAAATAGTTAAAAAATCATACATTGTGATTTCTGGATTTTTTTTTTTAGATTATGTCTCTCACAGTGGACATGCACCTACGATGACAATTTCAGACCCCTCCATGATTTCTAAGTGGGAGAACTTGCAAAATAGCAGGGTGTTCAAATACTTATTTTCCTCACTGCATCTATTCGTGGACGGACTTCATCCCTGGAAAGAGCAAAATCAGGTTTATGGAACAACAAATGTTTTCCACTGAAACAAAGGTCAAATTTAATTCTGCTGAATATTATTTACTGAAATATAGATTTATAAGAGCTCCTTTTTTTAAAGTAGAAGCTTTTTTAAATTCTCGGGACAAAATAATATTATTTTAATATGTATGTTAGTAAAAGTTCATTCATTACTTGACTGGAAAAACTCATCTGTGCTGAAATCAACTGCAAGCAGCCAATCAGCAGCTGCCACTCAGTGTTGGTATGTCATTGAAATGTCGTTGGTAGGTCGTTGATAGGTCGTTGGTACGTTGTTGATACGTCGTTGGTATGTCATTGAAATGTCGTTGGTAGGTCGTTGATAGGTCGTTGGTACGTTGTTGATACGTCGTTGGTATGTCATTAATATGTCGTTGAAATGTCGTTGATATGTCGTTGAAATGTTGGTACGTTGTCGGTATGTTGTTGATATGTCATTGGTCTATCATTGATATGTTGTTAGTATGTCGTTGGTACACTGGTGGTATGTTATCTTGATATGTCGTTGGTATGTTATCGGTATGTTGTTTATATGTCATTGGTATGTCATTGGTATGTCGTTATGTCATTGTTATGTTGATATGTCATTGTATGTCATTGGTCTATCATTGATACGTTATTGGTATGTTGTTGATATGCCGTCGGTACGTTGTTGGTATGTCATTGGTCTATCATTGATATGTTGTTAGTATGTCGTTGGTACACTGGTGGTATGTTATCTTGATATGTCGTTGGTATGTTATCGGTATGTTGTTTATATGTCATTGGTATGTCATTGGTATGTCGTTATGTCATTGTTATGTTGATATGTCATTGTATGTCATTGGTCTATCATTGATACGTTATTGGTATGTTGTTGATATGCCGTCGGTACGTTGTTGGTATGTCATTGAAATGTCGGTACGTTGTTGGTATGTTGTTGATATGTCGTTGATATGTCGTTGATATGTCGTTGGTCTATCGTTGATATGTTGTTGGTATGTCGTTGGTATGTCATTGGCACGTTGTTGGTATGTCGTTGGCACGTTGATATGTGGTTGGTATGTCGATGGTATGTGGTTGGTATGTTGATATGTCGTTGGTACGTTGTTGATAAGTTGTTATGTCATTGATGTGTCATTGGTATGTCGTTATGTCATTGGTCTATCATTGATATGTTGTTAGTATGTCGTTGGTACACTGGTGGTATGTTGTTATGTTGATATGTTGTTGGTATGTCATTGATATGTCATTGGTATGTCGTTATGTCATTGTTATGTTGATATGTCGTTGGTTTGTCATTGGTCTATCGTTACGTCGTTGGTACGTCTTTGATATGTCATTGTATGTCGTTGGTCTATCATTGATATGTCGTTGGTATGTTGATATGTCGTTGGTATGCCGATGATATGGCGTTGGTATGTGGTTGAAATGTCGTTGGTACGTTGTTGATATGTCATTGGTATGTCGTTGTACGTTGTTGATATGTTGTTGGTCTATCGTTGATATGTTGTTGGTACGTTGTTAATATGTCGTTGGTACGTTGTTGATATGTCGTTGGTACGTTGTTGATATGTCATTGGTATGTCGTTGATATGTTGTTACGTTGTTGATATGTCGTTGGTATGTCGTTATGTTGTTGGTAGGTCACTGATATGTCGTTGTTTGCTGCTGATGCGTACCTCTGTTCTCTCTGACGGCCAGCACTGAAGGATCCTGGGAGGACAGACAAGAGACAGAGAAACCATGAAGAGAACGTGGTCAGAGTGACCTCACCAACATGTTAAACGCCTGGCTGACTGACTGTCTCCCACCTTGAGGACTTTGGGCTGCAGACGACAGGGGCATGCTGGGAGCTGGTTGAGGGCGGCGGTCACATCAGGCGTCTCCACGGAAGCTAACGAACTGCAGAGCGCCTTCACTGATTGGACGAGGCGCTCCACGTGCAGCAGCAGCTCCGCCTACAGAGACAAACAGGGGAGAGTGCTTTAATTTAGTCCACGGATCCATCTGAATATGAGTCCGTCTGTCTGGACGAGTTTGACTCCTGGACCTGAAATGAGGACGTTTCTGACAGTGGGGACATTTTCACAGTTTAGACTTTGGGTTGAGGTTTGAATTATTATGTCGTGTTACACTCCAACTGTCTCTTAATACAAGCACAGAGCAAAAGACGCCCTGCTGAACCCCAGAGGGTTCGTCTTCAGGATGTTATTGTGGTAGGGTTCAGGGGTACTGGTTGATTAGGGTCCTCACGAGTATAGATGTGTGCGTTACCTCTGATAGCAGGAAGGACTCGGCTTCATTGTGAAAGGTGTCCAGCAGCAGCGTCAGAGCCTCCCTGATAAAGAAGAATAAAGAGCTGCTGAATCTCAGCCCATCAGCTGGAGCATCAGGACTACAACTGGACCCATTATAGGTCAGACCTGCAGCTACAGGCTCCACCCCCTCACCTGGTGACGGTCTGTTTGATTGGACGCTCCTGCAGCAGGATGCTGTGGTTCATGGTGGACAACGTCTCGTCGTCTTCTTTCTGTTATCAGAAGGAAAAACAAAATGTTCACTCTCTAAAACTTTATCAGAGATTTACAGGAACACAGCTCGCCACCAGAGAGCGCCGTGCGTTTCCTGTTTACCTTAGAGAAGAACGTTTGGTAACACTTTACTTTAAGTCAAGTTTATTTATTTGGCCTAATGGTCTGCAGCAGAGGACGCCTCCTGTCCTCAGAGCAACATTTAATTAACATTTGTTTATTAATGTTCAGCCTTCTTCTCCCATGATGACATGTTTTATAACTACTGCCTAACTGTCATTCTTTATCTGTTGATGCTGGACATAAGCTGAAGTCTGTCCCCTCTCAGAAAGAGCCTGGCCACAGTCCTCAGATCCTCAGGCAGGACTCTAAGTCCCGGTTCGGGACTAAAGGAGACCTGGTTTAACAGTCAGGACCTGAGCTCTGGACTTCCTGCCTAAAAATGTTTATTAATGTCCGCCGTTTGTTTCTCTGGACGACCAGCAGGTTTTATTTCACTCTGACTGAACGGTCTTTCACTTCGGAACTCCGCAAAGTGTTTTATAAATAAAGTTTATTATTTGTATTATACAGCAGCTGTCCAGACTCTATCTGCTAACAGTGTTATAAACCGATCATTACATTTATATTGATTAGAAACGCTAACAAGAGGATCGCTGATCGAACCTCCAGGGAGCCGAGCAGACACGACCCACACATGGAGAGGTTCAGCTTGTGATGATGAAGCCTGTGTGTGTTTATCAGTTTCCTGTTTGTGTTGCGCTGCATTTCAGCTGGTGCCTAGAGACAACATGAAGAACCTCATTCCACCTTAACACTCCTGTTTCATCGCAAGAGATGAACAGCAGTTTATAAAAATGTCGCCCTGAAGCTCAGAGAGTCTGCGGGTTCGATCGGATCCCAGCTCTCTGATACCCAACCAGGTCTCTGCAGCGTCCGTTTAGACGAGTTTAAATAATGATAAATACTCATTAAATATAATTAACAGGTGTGTGTGTGTGTGTGTGTTCAGACCGTGCGGGCCAGCTCCGTGCTGATGGCAGATCTCTTGGTTAGAAACAGTCGGACGTCCCAGTCGAACTTCAGACACTGTTGAACAAACTCCAGGCCGGCCAGAGTCTGGGAGCTGGTGGGGGGGGGGGGTCAATGTTAATGTCATTATATACTGTAATCCACTGTTTACACACAGTGACTTCTGTAAGACGCCGCTCTGTATGTCGTAATAAACAAACCGACTGGTGAATGTTAAAATGAAAAACATGTTGAGCTCGGTCTGTTCACAGATCAGATAAAGTCACTAACAAAAAACAGGAAACATCTGCTTTCAAAGGAAATTTGAAAAATTGACGCATCACCGGGCGAGCGGATCCTCGCCGACACATCACGGAGGGCACAGGTGAGGACAACGAGACGCCGGACACCAGAGCTGCTCCGAGTGAAACATCACACGCTTAGGATCATTTAGATCTTTATTTTGTGGCTGACAGGAAGCACTACACATCACAGCGACACATTACGCCGGGCCCGAACGCCTCCTCCTCCCGTGCTAGAGGTCACTAACAGGACCGCTAACTGAGCTAACAGTGCTACGTGTTTATGCTGAAACTCATGTTTCCTCTGACATAAACAGTCACTGGAAAAGGAAGACGGGTTTTTGGATTACAGAGCAGCGGAGGAAAGAGAGCCGGGCCTGGAGCCCCAGCTCGGACTTAAGGCTGCTCCTAAAGGTCCGGTCTGAACTCATGTTGGCCAAGAAACAGAACCCAGAGCCTGTTGAGCCCACATCTTTACAGAGACCAGTATTACAAGAAGTTCTGAACCGGCAGAGCCTGTCCTGACTGCTTGGTAACCATGGTAATAACGGTTAGGAACTGATTTAGGAATAAGGCCGTTACAGACGAACAGTTCCTCAGTCAGGGTTCCTTTCCTAACTTCAGAGAGGAAACGTGTTTTACAGAAGCTAAAATCCTAAATAAACTCTCCTGACTTCAGGAGAACTGTTGAGCTGTCCTAACTTTACTTTTCCACCAGGTAGTTTAACTCTTTTAATCCACATGGCTGCTCTTTAATTGCTTTTACAAAATCAACAAAATGTCAACAGGCGGAACTTGTTAACTGATTCTACCGATGACAAAACCCTCATTACATAACATGATTTAACAAAAGGATCCAAATGCAAAAAACAGCGATTAAAATCCGTTTAGCTCGCCAGATGAGAAAAGTGGCATCGGTTGCTAGGTAACAGACATCAAAGTTGACAGACACGCCTGACGAGATGCCTGACGTGATTTCTGTCGTACGCTCTCAGTCCGACACGACCTCTCCTGATGTGTCAGGCTGTGAAGCAGAACTTGTTTTGCAGGACGAGATCTTCTTATTTAACCGTCGGCGCCGGGGCTCTGGGACGTCTGAGGTTCTTACTTGTTGAGGAACTCGTCGTGCCCGCAGACCTTCAGCAGGTAGTCGTCCACGTCCGTGTGATCCAGATCATCCTGAGCGTAACACAGAGTCTGATAGATCAGCAGGTCCACCGTGGACGAACCTCCAACACAGAGAAACAGAGACGTCTTTGTTACTCAGATTCACTCGGGCAGGACTTAAAGATCTCATTTCACAACACTGCAGTGTCTTACCGTCACAGGTGAAGGTGAGCGGCTCTCTGAAGTGCTCGCTGACGATGGTGACCTTCACGCTGACCCCCAGACCCTGATGCAGCTCCTCCTGACCCACCGACGGCGACCAAACGAAGCCGCAGTTTGTCGAGCGGTCGCTGTGCGGGTACGCCGACCGCAACCTGCAGAGAGGGCGAAGCACCTGAAGTACTACAGCGGGTACCGGGTACAATGTGTACTGTTAGCTGAAGTACTACAGCGGGTACCGGGTACAATGTGTACTGTTAGCTGAGGTACTACAGCGGGTACCGGGTACAATGTGTACTGTTAGCTGAGGTACTACAGCGGGTACCGGGTACAATGTGTACTGTTAGCTGAAGTACTACAGCGGGTACCGGGTACGATGTGTACTGTCAGCAGTTAGGGAGTAAGCGTGACGTGCGTGTTACTCACACGTCCAGCATGTGACAGAAAGCTGCCACCTCCTCGTCTCTCTCCTCGGACACCTGGAACAACTCGTATCCAAACCCGTTCATCCTGGAGCCCAGAGACACCTGTCAATTACACGCAGAGCCGACCATTTACATTTCCTCATGTGGCGCTTTTATCCAACATACACACAGCATGAACAGAGCATCAAATACAGATCTACAGCTGACAACACATACTAGTAAGAGCTCACAGTACAGATCACATCAATGGGGTAAATACTGAGGGAAGGAAGTAAGAGTTAACAAAAGGTGCAATCAAAACAAGATCATTGTAGGGGATAGAAGAAGAAGAGCACAGGAAGTGCATGTTTGAGTTTTCAGGAGCATTTTGAAGTCAGAGAGGGACGCCGCTGCTCTGATGGCGTGCGGTAGCTCGTTCCACCATCGTGGTGTCACAGATGAGAACAGGGACTGAGATCGCTTTGTGTGAAGGGATGGCAGAGCCAGGCGGCGTTTGGTGGAGGAGCGTAGGGCCTGATTTTCCTTATGTTGTATAGAGCAAAGCGGCACGACCGAGAGACAGTAGCAACATGGTCTGAAAAGGACAGCTGGTCATCAATCCTGACACCCAAGTTTCACTCACTCTCCGCCCTGGTTGGAGTGAAGATGAGGAGTCAATTTGTAGTTTGATGTTATGGTGGATAGATTGCTTGGATAGCAGTGACAGCCGACAGCACTAAGACTGAACAGTGCGCTAACAGTGCTGTGGGTGCTAACACTGCTAACAGTGCTAACAGGTCTAACAGTGCTGTGGGTGCTAACACTGCTAACAGTGCTAACAGGTCTAACAGTGCTGTGGGTGCTAACACTGCTAACAGTGCTGTGGGTGCTAACAGTGCTAACAGGTCTAACAGTGCTGTGGGTGCTAACAATGCTAACAGTGCTAACAGGTCTAACAGTGCTGTGGGTGCTAACAATGCTAACAGTGCTAACAGGTCTAACAGTGCTGTGGGTGCTAACAGTGCTAACAGGTCTAACAGTGCTGTGGGTGCTAACACTGCTAACAGTGCTGTGGGTGCTAACAGTGCTAACAGGTCTAACAGTGCTGTGGGTGCTAACAGTGCTAACAGGTCTAACAGTGCTGTGGGTGCTAACAATGCTAACAGTGCTGTGGGTGCTAACAATGCTAACAGTGCTGTGGGTGCTAACAATGCTAACAGTGCTGTGGGTGCTAACAATGCTAACAGTGCTGTGGGTGCTAACAATGCTAACAGTGCTGTGGGTGCTAACAATGCTAACAGTGCTAACAGGTCTAACAGTGCTGTGGGTGCTAACAGTGCTAACAGTGCTAACAGGTCTAACAGTGCTGTGGGTGCTAACACTGCTAACAGTGCTAACAGGTCTAACAGTGCTGTGGGTGCTAACAGTGCTAACAGGTCTAACAGTGCTGTGGGTGCTAACAATGCTAACAGGTCTAACAGTGCTGTGGGTGCTAACAATGCTAACAGTGCTAACAGTGCTAACAGGTCTAACAGTGCTGTGGGTGCTAACAGTGCTAACAGTGCTAACAGGTCTAACAGTGCTGTGGGTGCTAACAGTGCTAACAGGTCTAACAGTGTTCACACTGCTAACAGGTCTAACAGTGCTGTGGGTGCTAACACTGCTAACAGGTCTAACAGTGCTGTGGGTGCTAACACTGCTAACATTGTTGACACTGCTAACAGGTGTCTATGAAGATTCTCAGTCATCCAGGTCATAGTTATCCAACGAAGGTTAAAATCAAGGGCAACTGGACTTGGTTGAAGATACTGGAACATACTAACAGGTCTAGCAGTGCTGTGGGTGCTAACAGTGCTAACAATGCTAACAGTGCTAACAGAGCTGAGAATGCTAACAGGTCTATCAGTGCTGTGGGTGCTAACAGTGCTAACAGTGCTGTGGGTGCTAACAGTGCTAACAGGTCTAACAGTGCTGTGGGTGCTAACAGGTCTAACAGTGCTGTGGGTGCTAACACTGCTAACAGGTCTAACAGTGCTGTGGGTGCTAACTCTGCTAACATTGTTGACACTGCTAACAGGTGTCTATGAAGATTCTCAGTCATCCAGGTCATAGTTATCCAACGAAGGTTAAAATCAAGGGCAACTGGACTTGGTTGAAGATACTGGAACATACTAACAGGTCTAGCAGTGCTGTGGGTGCTAACAGTGCTAACAATGCTAACAGTGCTAACAGAGCTGAGAATGCTAACAGGTCTATCAGTGCTGTGGTTGCTAACAGTACTTACAGTGCTGTGGGTGCTAACAGTGCTAACAGGTCTAACAGTGCTGTGGTTGCTAACAGTGCTTACAGTGCTGTGGGTGCTAACAGTGCTAACAGTGCTAACAGTGCTAACAGTTCTAACAGTGCTAACAGGTCTAACAGTGCTGTGGGTGCTAACAGTGCTGGCAGTGCTTACAATGTTAACAGTGCTAACATTGTTGACACTGCTAACAGGCCTAAAGGGCAATTTATACTTCTGCGTCAAATCGACGGCGTAGGTGACGGCGTAGGCTATGGGGCTACGCAGAGGCCACGGCGTCACCTGACGCGCACCTCCTCAAAAATCTAACTACATGTCGAGTTGACGCGGACCGTAAGTTCTGCGATCGGTCGGCGGGGGCGGGGTAGCCTCGCAATGTCTCCGAGCGGACCGGAAGTACTCTTTAAAGAAACATTTACTAGCGGCAAAACGGCGGCTGTAACGCGGTGAATCAACATATTTGACCGCTGCAACATGGGGGCGAAATGACTCGTTTCGCTATCAGAATGTGATCCATTCGGTCGGTAACATTTGAAAAGGCTACACCAGCCGCACGTTTACAATTTTACCCCCATTTACGTTAGCGGAGCGCTAAACTGGAAGCATGGCATGAAAGCATTGGCGTAGGTACGCACATAGAACCTACGCAGGAGTATAAATCAGCCTTAACAGTGCAAACAGGTCTATCAGTGCTGTGGGTGCTAACAGTGCTAACAATGCTAACAGAGCTGACAGTGCTAACAGGTCTATCAGTGTTGACACTGCTGACAGTGCTAACACTGCTACATTTCCTTCCCCACAGACTGTGTGCATCTGGAACATCTGGGAGGTGTTTAGTTCCAGAGCTGTGTGATAATCTCTCCACGGTGGCTTCAGATTGCAGCTGGTCCGACTGGTCTGACTGGTGACGCTGTGTGATCAAGCGGAGAGCTGGGAGGAACGTGTGTCACATTTAAAGGTATCAGAGCTGAGTTTCGACTCTCAGCACGCCTGAGAACACATGAAAGGTCCTGAGCGCTCTTATCTGTGTGACTTCCTCTTTTATCAGGAAATAATAACGTGTGTTACTGAGATAGTCTGTTTAGAGACACGTTTGGCTTCTTTAGTCAGAATTTAAAAACAAAACTACTAGTAAGAAATATTAACATCCTCTGAAGATGTGCAGCCACATGTGAAACGTGTTCCACAACATCTGCAGCTGTTTGAGAGAGAATCTGCTCTGAATTAAATACTTACTGTGCAGCGTCGCTGCTAATTATTGATTATCATCTGCAGCCCTAACAGCAGCATGCTGCTCTCTAAACCGATGAGCGACTGTAACGAGTCATCAGGATCTATAATCAATATCAATCACAGAGACCTTTTCTCTTTTAATTAAGCTAGGCTAGCAGTTTCCCTCTGCTTCCAGTCTTTATGCTAAGCTAGGCTAAACACATTCCTGGAGCTTAACACAGACATGAAGCTGATCTGAATCACATCTGATCTGGAATAAGATTAAGAGATCATCACGATGCATCTTTGTTAGTGGTGTGACGAGCAATCAACTCACGAGAGGAGATGTGAAAACTGTGAGAAACCTTCAAAGCTGAAGAAAATGAAAAGTTTGAGCATTAAACTGTTCATTTCCTGCATTCTGGTGAATTTTTCCTCACCACTTTCTGGTGGAAACAGAATCCAGGTGACAATCTAACCCTCTACCAGACTCAGTCAGAGCTGCTCTCAGATCTGTGTCTCCTGTGGATCAGCTTATTTTATATCTGCTGAGTCAGGATTTAGTCTTCCCTGCTCTTTGTGTCTTTGTTTAGGGAAGTGACCTCTTTATTTCATTTTAATTCAGTGATAAACTCCTGGACTTTAACAGCTCCTGTGTTTCAGCTGCTTTTCTGCTCACGTTCAGAATCTCTCCCACAGATCTGTGTTCTCCGACAGGTCCAGAGAAAAGAAGAACATTACCAGACCAACGTCATCATTTAATGATAAACTCTGCTGGCAGTTTCCCCTTCAGACCGTCTGACCGACACAGTTTGGGACTGCATGTTAGTTTTGGTTTCCAGTCAGTCATCCTAACTGAAACACTTGTGATCAGCAGAAATCACATGTTCACTTCAGCAGCTCACAGTCCCAAACAGAACAAGGCTGCTTCAGCTTTTAATTGTTTATGTTGTAAAACTCTACCAGCTACGCCGCTACTCGCTCACAACTGTCTGGACTCTCAGTGCGAGAGCAGGTTCACTTGATTACTGTCAGGGCGTACGCCGGTGTCGCATCAGCTGGGTGGAGTTTATTCGCTGAAGGTGTGGTGTGAGAAATGTCGGACAGCTTCTAACCTGACAAGAAATCAATTCACATTTTAATCTCGTGAGATTTTGTGGCACGAGATCTCGTCACACCCTTAATTTCTGCTATTCCCAAGTCCAGAAGAGATTTTCTTTGGCATCATGTCCGTCAAGGTTCCAAGCAGCTGAGACGATAACAAAAGGTGACGTGAAATCACACCAGACTGCTGATTGGTCAGAGAGAATCAACGACAAACCCGCGTAGGAAATAAGGTAGCTAGTAGCCTGCTAACGTTAGCTCAGTTTAGCTGCTCAGTTTGTTTTTAGTTCAGGCTTCATCCCGTGTTGACGTTCAGGAAGTTACCACAGAACACTGGAAACTCTGAATGAAGCGGTTTCATCCTAAAACATTTGTGTCTCTTCTGAGGACGCTGGGCGTCAGTGGGCCGACCTCCTGACGGGGGCGGAGCCGTCGACTGGAAATGTTTAAACGTTAAATCTTTATTTATCGGGCCGGAGCCGTGTGTTTTTTTGAAGGCTGCCTCAGTTACTAATAAACCCTGATCACAGTGATCAACACCCCACAACAATCTCATTCTTACCGGGTCTGCAGACACCCGCCGCTGGTTCTTGTTGCTCTTGGGAACAGGTACGTACGTCCTGGGCGGGACCTGAGGGGGCAGGGTCTTACTCCGAGCCACAGGCTTCCCCGATTGGTCCCCATTGGCCCTCCGGCCTCGAGGCCCCTGCCGGCCCTCGTTGAGTCGAGATAGCGAGTCATTGATGTTGTCGTAGTTCAGCTCTCCTGAGGTCACTTTGGGCTGATCCACATCGGGCGTAAACAGGTTCACGTCGCGGGGCACGGTGGACCCTCGAGGGGGCAGGAAGGGGTTCTCTGACCCCAATGATGGGGGGATGGGGTTTCTTGGTGGGAGGGCGGGGGGGACATCGTCTGGAAAAGAGGGGAAGCCTTTGGGAAGAAACCCTGATCCGAATGCAGTTGAGTCCCTGAGGCTGGAACCGGAGCAGTCCCTGAACTTGCTGACCTCCGGACTGTCCAGGATGTACAGGGATTCTTTGATGTAGCCTCCCTGAGGAGGGAGCGCCCTAGCTGGGACGGAGGGCGGAGACTGTGACCGTCCAGGCTGGTTCAGGGAGGAGTCGGACCCAGAAAGGCCCCTCAGCAGGTTTCCTCCTGTAAGGGCAGGACTGGTCTGGCTGGGGGTGGGTCGGGGAGGGAGGGAGGGGTTGTGGCTCTTGGAGCGGGTTTGGCTGGGAGCTCTAGGGCCAGTCTGGCTGGTTTCTGTCCCACTCTTGTCCTGTTTGAGTCTGGAGAGTGCATCATACTCCATCTGCAGGGCCTCGGCCAGGACCAGCTCCTTCTGACTGAGACCCAGGGCCTCCAGGGTCTCCTTCTGAGTCTGAGCCGCCGACATGATGCCACCACAGCAGAGAGGGAGCCGCAAGGACGCTCGGCTGAACTGCTGCTAGAGGAACCGGCGAGGACACATGGAGCAGCTGAGGACAAAGGAGACAGAGAGGACAGCCAGTAAGACATCCCCATTTCATTTCTTATTATTTAGAACTACAGGCCTTCAACTTGATCAAATCTAAATTGGAGATGTGGGGTAATTATCATTAACTCTGGTTACTGACTTGTCATAATATGTGACTGCAGTGAAACACGACTTGCTGGTTGAAGTTAAAATAAGTTCAGATACTTCTAATGGTCCCGTGAAGATAAACAGTCGCGTGCAGCGTGTTAATGAATCAGACGCTGATGAAACCCACACAGGAAGGTTTTGTGGACAGAAACTGTTCAGACAAAGCGGCTAAATCAATATTTCATTATAGGAGAAACAGCTATGCAGACGACACTCCACTAATTCTGTCTTCCCCATCTGAAACCTCCACAGCATCAGGAAGACTGAGGATTCAGTCATAAGGCTGAAAACCCCTGTTTAGGCTGAAAAAACCTGTTCAGGCTGAAAACAAAACAGAATTACAGGTGAACAAACAGGTTTACTGGGTAAATTAACCTGTTTTTATAAACTATTTGACTCTTTAATTTTTTTATTTAAATGTATTTGTATATTTCCTATTTTGCTATTTTGCTTGTATATTTTGCTTTCATATTTCATGTAAAGCACCTTGAATTGCCTTGTTGCTGAAATGTGCTGTACAAATAAACCTGCCTTTTGTAATGTATTTTATTGGGATCTCATTTGACAGAGCAACACACGCGCATAAGTGGGAGGAAACTGATATGTGTTTTTTAAAACTTTCCACAAATAAAAATCTGGAAAGTGTGGCGTGCAAAAGTTATTCAGCCTGAGTCAGTACAAAGTACAAAGTACTGACTCAGGCTGAATAACTTTTCACCTTTCACTGCAAGTACGGCTCCAAGTCTTTTGGGGTATGTCTCTACCAGCTTTGACTGTTTTTTCTTCAGATTGGATGGAGAGCGTCTTGCCACAGATTCTCGATGGATTTAGGTCTGGACTCTGACTGGGTCACTAACACATGAGCATGTTTTGATCTAAGCCATTCCACCGTAGCTCTGGCTGTATGTTTGGGGTCACGGTCCTGCTGGAAGGTGAACAGGGGACAGCAGGACCAATAGCTGTCCTGTGGACAGATTCTCCCACCTGAGCTGTGGATCTCTGCAGCTGCTCCAGTGTGACCGTGGGCCTCCGGGCTGCTTCTCTGATAAGTGTTCTTCTGTAAGTTTAGGTGGACAGCCATTACATGGTGCGTTTGCAGTTGTGCCATGCTCTTTCCATTTTCGGATGATGGATTGAACGGTCTTCAAAGCTTGGGATATTTATTTATGACCTAACCCTGTTTAAACTTCTCCAAAACTTTATCCCTGACCTGCCTGGTGTGTTCCTTGGTCTTCATGGTGCTGTAGTTCACTACAACAAGCCTCTGAGGCCTTCACAGAACAGCTGTATTAATACTGACAGTAGATTACACACAGGTGGACTCTATTTACTAATTATGCGCCACTGTGTGTTGGTCTATCACCTGAGGTCCCAATAAAATACATTTACGGTGGTTTGTGGTTGTAATGTGTAAAAATGAGTATGCCAGCCACTGTGTTTGGTTAAAACCCAGCAGAGACAAGAGGAAACCAAAGGCTAGAGGAAGTGCTGGGCGATTATCAGGATCAGTGTCCGGTCATCATTTCTTTCAGGTTTAAAGGAAGATTTTTGCTCCAGAGTGAAAGTTAATGTGGTTTTAAACTTTTCTTTCTGGTCAAAACAAACACTTGATGCCAGAGGATCACTTCACAGATCTGAGGCCAAACATTCTGTTTTAATAAATATGCGTGATTAAAATTAAGTAAAAGCTTCTCTCTTCCCCAACAAAAAAAATTTGAATTAAAGGAATTCAACATGTGATATTTATAGTGAGGACTCTGCCCAGCCCTAGCTCGAGGTGTCTCTCTGCATTCTGATAGGCTGACCTTTTGTCCAGCTGCTGGACGTCCCACAGAAACACAGCAGCGACCCGGAGACCCGCTCGCCGTCTGACCAGCAGCCCTGCAGCCGAGTGTGGCGGGCGGCAGGAAACAGGAAGGAATGAAACAGGAAGTGGAGCTGTGAGGAGGTAAAACCAGCTGAGGCCGGATCAGCTCAGCGACAAGAAACCCTGTTCAGAAGAGTCTGCTGAGGAGTGGACAAAATAACAGAAACACCTGACAGTCCGATTCAGTCCAACGTCACACGGTTCTGGTTCTCAGATTCAGATCCCTGGCGGTCACCCAGAACAACTCCAGATCTCTGCTGCTGGAGAGAGAGAGCCCCCGCTGAGTAAACAGTCCTGCTCGACTCCCCCTGCTTCTAACAAACCGGGTCAAAGCCACGCACAACCAGAACAACGCCAGGATTACAGGTCCGCCCACGCCCCGGCCTATCAGAGCCCAGCATGTGCGTGTGATGGTGTGTGTCCTCCCTGTGATGTGTCCTGTGTTAAACATTTCATTTATTTTTTTAATTAAAGAGTATAAATTAATGAACGTGCCTTTAAATGCAAAAAAAATATTACAAAACAATAAAAGTCGGCTTTTCTTCATTTGTAAACAACGTGGGGAAATTTACTGATATCTGTCCCCTGAAATCTACCAGCTGTTTCCTCTGTGGGGGAGGAGATGATGGGGGATGGGGGCTCAGATCTGTCCCTCCCCCATCACAGAGAACCAGCTGCGCCCCACTTCCACACTGACAGCACCGGAGTCTGACTGGAGACACATGGGGGGCTGGAACTCGGGCCCCCGCCTGCAGGGTCAGGTGTGCTGCCAGTCAGGTGACAGCGGAAGGTGGGGGCTCCGTGGTGGAGACGCCACGCTGCAGTGAGGGAGTTGCGTAACAGCAGCAACGTTCTCTGCCCCGCATCATGTCCCAGTCCGTCCACACCAGTGACTTTACACCTGCCCCCCCCAACCCACCTGTCTGTGGTTTCCACATGACGTCTGTCTGTGATGAGACGCTTTAAAGACGAGACATCAGATTAACACCCCCCCAAGAGAGAAACCCTTTCAATCAGAGGGGAGGAGACAACAAAGAGCTGCCAGTCTGTGAGTCACATGATCGAGGACTTTCACCCAGAGACTGGGGGGGGGGGGGAACCATTCATCAACACACACAGTTACTGTTTGTGTCATCTACAAACGCCGTTTTCACAAAACCCTGTGATGATTAATTCTCAGGAACTTTATTAAACTGACAAAAGCACAAAGAAAAGATTTCAGCTTTGGGCCCCGGCTCCTCCAAAGCGCTTTTTCCTGACGCCAGAGTCTTTTTTCAATTCATTACAATGGGAGCGCCGCGTTTTTACAAGCTAGTAAAAACACCAGCAGCGTGACGAGCTGGGCGCTCAGCGTTTTTTTCCGGTTGAAAAATGTTAAACTTTTTAGCCAGCCGTCCAATCACAGTGCAGGAGGGGCGGGAAAAGCTGAGAAGGTTCTCCCCCAAGACTGGACGGCACATGTTCCCGTCCATCGTCCCTTTGATGCGGGGAAGTGGTCCTGACCCCTTAGCAGAAAAACAAAGCATGATGGTTCCACCTCCATGTTTGATGGCGTTTTTGGGGTCAGCCTCCCTCCTTCTCCAGACACGGCGAGTTGAGTAGATGCCAAAGAGCTCGATTTTGGTCTCACCTGAGTGCAACACTTTCCCCCAGGTCTCCTCTGAACCATTCAGATGTTCCTCGGCAAGCTTCAGACGGGCGCTGCAGGATGTCAGTCCTTCACGGCGTGCTGTGGTACCGATTGTTTTCTTGGGAATATGGTCCCAGCTGTCTTGAGATCATTGAAAAGATGTAGTTCAGGGTGGATTCCTCGCCGTTCTCACGACCACTGAACTCCACGAGGGGAGATCTCGCATGGAGCCCCAGGCCGAGGGAGATGGGCAGTTCATTTCTGTTCCTTCCTTTGGGAATAATCGCACCAAGCTTCTTGGCGATGGTCCTGCAGCCCATTCCAGCCCTTTGGTCTTGGCCATGGTGGAGAGTTTGGAATCTGATTGCTTGCTTCTGTGGACACGTGTCCACTTTTGTTAGAGGTAACAAACGCACTGCCTTTAAGCGTGCTCCTAATCTCAGCTCGTTACCTGGGAGGTCAAATACTTACTTCACTCATCAAAATGGAAATAAATTCATAACATTTTTGACTGTTTTTCTGGGGTGGTGATGGTGCAGTGGATAAGACACACGCTTTTGGTGTGAGAGACCCGGCTTCAATTCCCACTGTGACACGTCCACCAAAGTGTCCCTGAGCAACACACTTAACCCCTCGTTGCTCCAGAGGCGTGCGACCTCTGACCCACAAAGCAGCTGTAAGTGGCTTTGGATAAAAGCGTCAGCTAAATGAATAAACGTCAAATAAACCTACCAATAAAATTAGAGACTGATCATTTGTCAGCAGGGAATCACTCTACACACTGTTGATGCCACACTTGTGAACACATGACGGTTTCTACAGAACGGTTGGTGCCGGGGATCCAACATGTGGAAGGTGGAGACAGCTGCAGCTCAGCCGTTGAGTCAGTTTAATATTTAACATCTGTCAGTTTTCACGCCTGTTTCCTTCCACAGCTTCGAGTCAAAGCCTCCAGCTCTCCAGTGTTGGAGCTGATTCAGGCAGACGTTCCACAGTTTGGATCAATGCAGGGCAAACTACACGTGTTTACATGTACATATATGTACATATATGTACATGTAAACACAGACAGGCGGCCAGTGCAGGGCCTGAAGGACAGGTGGACAGGTGTCTCCTCAGGTAGACCAGGAGGCTCTGTGAGGACGCTGCACCTGATATTCTGACCTGCATCGATCCTTAGAGCAGGAAACATCAACACTTTAGCATCGATCCGCACATCACTGCTGACGGCTGCTGCAGGCAAACCGTGAACTTCTGACAGACTAAAAAATCTATCGGACCCTGCAGGAGAAACAGCCGGGGAGAGAGACGGCGGCACTTCCAACACTGAGGCGGCGAAACTCCTCCCACATTCACTGAAACGTAGGGAATCTCTTAGCTGCCGAGTCTGACGGAGACGAGCTGACGCCTCATTTCAGACCTGCGGCCGAGCGGGGTTATATTTTCCACAGGTCAGGTCCACATCGGCCCCTCAGCTCCTCCCCCTCCACGGGTTCAGGGTGACGTCAAGGGAGAAACGTGGCGACAAAATGGTCGATGGAAACGTTTGCTTAATGGTGCAAACATCACGCGGGAGCAAACGTGTCCTCTGTAACATGGTGAGAGGTTATCACGGTGTCGACCTGCATTAATTAGGAGGAGCCCCTGAACGCACCGTGTCTGAGGCACCTGACTAGGATCTAGATCACCTTCAGAACCGACCACGTGCAGCAGATTTACCTTTTTACAACTTTGACTGATTGATTTCATCACAGTGACGTCACGTGTATCGATTACCACGCCCCCTGCGATGACGTCACAACAGCGATGTTTTTCGAGTTGCTGACAAACGTTCAAACCGGGAAAACGCACCTGCTCTGAGAGTCTGCAGGTGTGGCAGGTGTATGTGACGTCACGGGGAAAGCGAAAGCTCATTGGTCTTTTTATAATCACTGTTGGCTGGTTAGAAAATGTCGCAGTGACCTTAAGTTACGCGTTGTTTTACTTTGTGTCTCTGAAAACCAAACAGGTGAATCAGAGACACGGAGTGCGCAGACTCGGAGGGAACAGGTGACTGGACTACAAACTGGATTATTATGGGAGTGGAAATGGGTCCCAGTCCCGTGGAGAGAGCGTCCAACCAAACTACATTCACAAATCCGGCACTTTAACGTGGCCTCATTCGCCGGCCAACACCCCCACCGGCCAGATACATAATCTGAGCACCTGTGCTGTGTTTCACATCCCGACACATCCACTACACAAACACGCAGTTAGATTGTACATCTTTTAAACTTTAAATATCAGTTCGACTTCCCTTCCTATCTGGGATTTCCCCCGACAGCCTGCCATGGAGGGCGGCGGCGAGCAGCCCGAACCCCTCCTCTAAGGCTACCTAAAATCTACTGCTAATAACCTGCATTTCAGTGGATTTCATGTGCGCCGAGTTTACCTGTACAGCATAACGATTAGCAAAAGGTCATCAGCCACGCTTGAACAGGAAGCCAAGTTAACCAAAAAAGCGGGATTGTTTGTATTGTGCGGTGTCTGAATGGAGTTTGGTGTGACCTTCTCTCTCCGTCCAGTGCAGCAGCGCAAGTGAACAGAACTTCACCGGAATGCGTCAAAACATTTCCATAATCCCAGCAGCGTTAGCTAGCTAACAGCTGCCCCCCTCCAGGTGGTGGACCTTACCTGGGTCTCGGTCTACGGGCTCCGGGAGCGGGCGGCGGTTGCCATTTTAAAGCGGTTTACTTTTCTGTCCAAAAATCACATCGGTCTCCCTCAACGCTCGGTTCTTCGTCGGTATCTCCGGGCAGGTTAACGGCCTCCAGTCGCCGGTGCGGCCGGGATTCTCCGCATTAGACCGGATCACCGGCTCCGTTAGTGTCCGCCTCTGTTTACCGCTTCAACAATGCAGCAGTGTGGGACCGTACCAGGCGGCTCCGGCTGCCCTGAAGCCCGGAATCTGGCGACGCTCTCGGCTTTGCGTCAGTCTCTGCTCGGCAGCTGCGGACCAGCGGTGTCAAGTTACACACCGACAACACAGGCGGCTTCCGGTCAGAGTTTCAAAATAAACCCAACTGAGATGAAAACATTAGATTAATTAACCGGAGCAGTAACATCTGCCACATTGTGTTACACATAGTTATATCACTCTTCAAGAACTTGCATCTGTTTATTCCATGTTTATATGTTTTTGAATATAAATGTCAGCTGTAAGTTTATGTCTGTGACTGGCACCTAATCTAAAGAGTGTAAAATACTAAAATCATCAATAACGAACTTTCACGCTAAGTGTAACTAAATAATCCAAGTTAAAAAAACATTGGAGGTAATTTAACTGAATTAAACTAAACTAGAAACTACATTTTTTATGTAAATTAAATAAAATAAAAAATGAAATGTACTAAAAGGACAACCTCTGTCACATTTTGTCCAACATCAGGTCGGCCCAGCAGAGGCTCAGGTCTCAGGAGCTGCTGATCCAGTTCTTCTCTGCACCGTATACACTCACCTATTATTAGGAACACCTGTTCAATTTCTCATTAATGCAATTATCTAATCAACCAGTCACATGGCAGTTGCTTCAATGCATTTAGGGGTGTGGTCCTGGTCAAGACAATCTCCTGAACTCCAAACTGAATGTCAGAATGGGAAAGAAAGGTGATTTAAGCAATTTTGAGCGCGGCATGGTTGTTGGTGCCAGACGGGCCGGTCTGAGTATTTCACAATCTGCTCAGTTACTGGGATTTTCACGCACAACCATTTCTAAGGTTTACAAAGAATGGTGTGAAAAGGAGAAGGGGAAAACATTCAGTATGCGGCAGTCCTGTGGGCGAAAATGCCTCGTTGATGCTAGAGGTCAGAGGAGAATGGGCCGACTGATTCAAGCTGATAGAAAAGCAACGTTGACTGAAATAACCACTCGTTACAACCGAGGTATGCAGCAAAGCATTTGTGAAGCCACAACATGCAACCTTGAGGCGGATGGGCTACAACAGCAGAAGACCCCACCGGGTACCACTCATCTCCACTACAAATAGGAAAAAGAGGCTACAATTTGCAAGAGCTCACCAAAATTGGACAGTTGAAGACTGGAAAAATGTTGCCTGGTCTGATGAGTCTCGATTTCTGTTGAGACATTCAGATGGTAGAGTCAGAATTTGGCGTAAACAGAATGAGAACATGGATCCATCATGCCTTGTTACCACTGTGCAGGCTGGTGGTGGTGGTGTAATGGTGTGGGGGATGTTTTCTTGGCACACTTTAGGCCCCTTAGTGCCAATTGGGCATGGTTTAAATGCCACGGCCTACCTGAGCATTGTTTCTGACCGTCTCCATCCCTTTATGGCCACCATGTACCCATCCTCTGATGGCTACTTCCAGCAGGATAATGCACCGTGTCACAAAGCTCCAATCATTTCAAACATGACAATGAGTTCACTGTACTAAAATGGCCCCCACAGTCACCAGATCTCAACCCAATAGAGCATCTTTGGGATGTGGTGGAACGGGAGCTTCGTGCCCTGGATGTGCATCCCACAAATCTCCATCAACTGCAAGATGCTATCCATCAATATGGGCCAACATTTCTAAAGAATGCTTTCAGCACCTTGTTGAATCAATGCCACGTAGAATTAAGGCAGTTCTGAAGGCGAAAGGGGGTCAAACATAGTATTAGTCTGGTGTTCTTAATAATCCTTTAGGTGAGTGTTTGTACAGCATACGCAGTACAAACACTGTACAGTACATGTAATATGTCATGTGTAAAACCAGCCTGTTACATTAATCATTCCACACAGCTGTTGTGTTCTAGTTTACAGAAACAGACTCTGTATGTTGTTGTTTATTGTCTATGTTTATATTTATATATTAATCTTCCTTCACACACAAACTGCTGCTGTGTTTTAGCACGTGAACACAAAATAAAAGTACTTCCGGTAACGCTGCTGATTCTGTCTGACTTGACTGAGTTTAGTTCAGAGAGGAAAGAGGAGAGACAGCGACACCTGGCGGACAACACCTTCATCACAGCTCAGTGAGCACGCTGACCACCACAGAAGAAGAGTTTAACGCCAAAACACACAAAATACATGAACAGCACATGTGAGGTTTCCATGGGGAGGCAGGGGTGCAGTGGACAGGCCGCATGTTGGGTTTGATTCCCACTGCGACACTGATGCTGCGTTCATGACTGCTGGGAACTGTACTGTCAGGTGGTCACGCAGGTGAAGCCTCAGCAGAGCCTCCACGTTCATTAGAAACAGCCCTTTAATGAAAACAAGTGATAAACATGTGTTACTAGTTAACTTTGTCCAGCTCCATCAGCTGGTCATCCTCAGACTCAGTAAATGTTCTACTTCCCAACATTTAGTTCAGAGGAGGCGACTAACAACACATTTTACATGCAGAACAGGTTTTACTACACGACATCAAATATTATCCATCCATCCATCGTCAACCGCTTATCCTGCGTACAGGGTTGCGGGGGGCTGGAGCCAATCCCAGCTGGCATCGGGCGAAAGGCGGGGTCCACCCTGGACAGGTCGCCAGTCCATCGCAGGACAGCAAGTATTAATTTTATTTAAATACATGCAAATATACTTTATGTTGCCTTTAGTTGCTGGTTTCCACTGTGTGCTTCCATGGAGCTGCTGCCTTCAGCTGCTGCTCGTCAACTCATATTTTTACTCTGAGTTCACAAGTAGGAACTCTGACTCCCAGTGGCGTTCATGGTTTCCGAGTTGCCTGGAACGCAGCATTAACCCCTTGTTGCTCCGGAGGCGTGTGACCTCTGACGTACGTAGCAACTGTAAGTCGCTTTGGATAAAAGCATAAAAGAAATCATCACACGTTTCCTGTATACACTGTTCTCTGTGACGTCATCAAATCCACTGTGATGTCGTCCATGATGTCGTCTGTGCAGACTGACGTTTGTTCAGAGTTAGTTTCCTCTGCTGGAGGAGGAAAGTTTCTCGGAGCTCACCTCAAATCTCAGTTTCACACCTGGACATACCAGCAGGATTTATTACGTCACAAACCGTTTAGAGCCAATCAGGGTGCACTGTGAAATTTGCATAGTGTGATGTGGAAACTTAATTTGACAGTACAAAGAGACAGGAAAGGGCAGGGCAGAGACATGGGAGGCCTCGGACTGCAGGTGTTGCACTCCCCACCAGGTGTGATGACGGGATCAGTTTCTGAAGATCTCTGTTTTTCAGAGATGACAAATCAGAACGGAGGCTGGAAAGTAAGTTTGTCATTTGTTAGACTCGTCGACAGATCCCCACATCAGCTGAATATATTTCCTCTCCCTCTTCAACAAATAAACTGAGCTGTCAGAGGGGAATAAAGCAGGATTATTGTCTTTTATTCGTCTTCGATTCTGCTGCAGGTTCAGAATCTGAATCTGTTAATCGGTCGCTTAAAAAGCCAAAAATCAGAAACAAATACAAAGAAATCTGTTTTAGATCTTAAGTTATACAGTTAAAGTCTAAAGTGCTCTATAATCAGTCATATAGATTTCATTGTTCAGTCCTTCCAGGATTTCACAACTGTTACAGAACACAAATTCAACAAATCCCTGTGAATTCAGTTCAACTTACAATTTTTTACCAATCACAGCAACTTTTCCACAAACGTGACCTCTCATCGCCGTTTCCCGCTAAACGTTGTCACACATCCGCAAACTCACTTCCTTGATCAGAAGACGCAGCAGACGTGTGTGATACCGTCTCGCATTCCGGTCAGCTGCAGGACAGAATCAGCTGGTTTAAACATGCAGGGTCAGGGTCAGGGTCAGGGTCAGGCCCGCCGAGTCCTGGAGGGACCGTTTAATGATTCAACTACAATTCTAAAGGTAAAAATATCAAATATATACAGTATCTCACAAAAGTGAGTCCACCCCCCATCTTTTCATGTGACGACACTGAAGAAATGACTCTCCAGTGTAAAGTAGTGAGTGTGCAGCTTGTATAACAGTGTAAATCTGCTGTCCCCTCAAAATAACACATCACACAGCCGTTAATGTCTAAACCGCTGGCAACAAAAGTGAGGACACCCCTCAGTGAAAATGTCCACATTGGGCCCAATCAGCCATTTTCCCTCCCCCGCTGTCATGTGACTCGTTAGTGTTACCAAGTCTCAGGTGTGAATGTGGAGCAGGTGTGTTAAATTTGGTGTTGTCGCTCTCACACTCCCTCATACTGGTCACTGGAAGTTCAACATGGCACCTCATGGCAAAGAACTCTCTGAGGATCTGAAACAAAGAACGGTTGTCATGGAGTGTCCTGGTCTGGGGCTGCATGAGTGCTGCCGGCACTGTGGAGCTACAGCTCAATGAGGGAACCACGAATGCCAACATGAACTGTGATATACTGAAGCAGAGCCCCTCCCTTCAGAGACTGGGCCGCAGGGCAGCGTTCCAACATGATAACGACGAAGAATGTGGACATTTTCACTCAGGGGTGTCCTCAATTTTGTTGCCAGTGGTTTAGACATTAACGGCTGTGTGATGTGTTATTTTGAGGGGACAGCAGATTTACACTGTTATACAAGCTGCACGCTCACTACTTTACACTGGAGCAAAGCGTCATTTCTTCAGTGTCGTCACATGAAAAGATAGAATCAGATATTTACAACAATGTGAGGGGCGTGCTCACTTATGTTTTATTTCCACAATTTCATTGCAAGAAAGCGCTGAAAAACAACATCCCAACTTTCATCACATTTAGAAAAGCTGCTGCAAATCACAAAAAGGCCCTCGAGGTCCTGGAGGGACCGACTGTTTCACTACGGACATAAATCTGAACAATAAGGCCTCATTTTTAATGTGACCTGTGAGAGGAAGTTAGAAACCGTTAACGAGTAACAACAGACGCCGTCTGTAAATAAACATCTAATTATAAGACGTGTTCTTGTTATTAGTTATTATTAATCGTGAATAAAATCTTGGGTTCTGTAGTTCTAAAGTTTTCCTGTAATAACAAGATATGAATCTCGTGTTTTCACATAATTATGACTTCGTTATTAAGAAGATATAAATGATAAAGTTCATAATTATAAACGTGGTACCACGGTAACACGGCACCAAACAGACGTTCCTTCGTCTCGTTAAAGTGCAGCTCAGTTTTATGTCTTCATGAAGTTTAGGCACAAGTTTCCTTCATCTGAGACACAGGAGGACATCAGGGGGTCATGTTCGTGTCCTCAGCGTGTCCTCTAAATGTGGACAGTCTGGTTCTCTCTCTGTCCCGGGCAGGACTCTGTCTCTACACCTCCTTCTCCTCTTTACTGTGTAACGACGTCCGTCTCAGCTTCTCCTTCACTTTGACGAACTCCGGAGCTTTCAGGTTCTCCTCCTGCTCCTTCTCCAGCTCCTTCTCCAGCTGCAACACCGGGACAGAGACACATTCAGGACAACAGGAACCGGACAGGGACAGCAGAGACCAACAGGGAGGACGCACACAACAGGGACAGCAGAGACTAACAGGGAGAATGGACAGAACAGGGACAGCAGAGACCAACAGGGAGGACGGACAGAACAGGGACAGCAGAGACCAACAGAGAGGACGCACACAACAGGGACAGCAGAGACCAATAGAGAGGACGGAATCAAAAGGGACAGCAGAGACCAACAGGGAAGATGGACAAAATAGGGACAGCAGAGACCAACAGGGAGGACTCGCACAACAGGGACAGCAGAGACCAATAGAGAGGACGGAATCAAAAGGGACAGCAGAGACCAACAGGGAAGATGGACAAAATAGGGACAGCAGAGACCAACAGGGAGGACTCGCACAACAGGGACAGCAGAGACCAATAGAGAGGACGGAATCAAAAGGGACAGCAGAGACCAACAGGGAAGATGGACAAAATAGGGACAGCAGAGACCAATAGAGAGAACAGACACAAAAGGGACAGCAGAGAGCAACAGGGAGGACGCACACAACAGGGACAGCAGAGACCAATGGGTAGGATGGACACAACATGAAGGACGGACACAACAAGGACAGCAGAGACCAATGGGTAGGATGGACACAACATGAAGGACGGACACAACAAGGACAGCAGAGACCAACAGGGAAGACGGACAGAACAGGGACAGCAGATAGCAACAGGGAGGACGGACAAAATAGGGACAGCAGAGAGCAACAGAGAGGACGGACACAAAAGAGACAGCAGAGAGCAACAGGGAGGACGGACACAAAAGGGACAGCAGAGAGCAACAGGGAGGACACACACAACAGGGACAGCAGAGACTAACAGGGAGGACGCACACAACAGGGACAGCAGAGTCCAATGGGTAGGATGGACACAACATGAAGGACAGACACAACAAGGACAGCAGAGACCAACAGGGAAGACGGACAGAACAGGGACAGCAGAGAGCAACAGGGAGGACGGACAAAATAGGGACAGCAGAGAGCAACAGGGAGGACGCACACAACAGGGACAGCAGAGACCAACGGGGAGGATGGACACAACATGAAGGACGGACACAACAAGGACAGCAGAGACCAACAGGGAAGATGCACACAACAGGGACAGCAGAGACCAACAGGGAGGACTCACACAACAGGGACAGCAGAGAGCAACAGAGAGGACTCACACAACAGGGACAGCAGAGACCAATTGAGAGGACAGACACAAAAGGGACAGCAGAGACCAACAGAGAGGACGGACACAAAAGGGACAGCAGAGAGCAACAGGGAGGACGCACACAACAGGGACAGCAGAGACCACCAGAGAGGACGGACAGAACAGGGACAGCAGAGACCAACCGGGAGGACGGACACAACAGGGACAGCAGAAACCAACAGAGAGGACGCACACAAAAGGGACAGCAGAGACCAACAGAGAGGACGCACACAAAAGGGACAGCAGAGAGCAACAGGAAGGACACACACAAAAGGGACAGCAGAGACCAACAGGGAAGATGGACAGAACAGGGACAGCAGAGAGCAACAGGGAGGATGGTACCTGTGTTGTGTATCTGTGTGTATATCTGTGTGCGTATTTGTGCTGTGTACCTGTGTTGTGTATCTGTGTTGTGTACCTGTGTGTACCTGTGTTGTATATCTGTGTGTATACCTGTGTTGCGTATCTGTGTTGCGTACCTGTTTGTGTACCTGTGTTGTGTACCTGTGTGTGTACCTGTGTTGTGTACCTGTGTTGTGTACCTGTGTTTATATCTGTGTGTGTACCTGTGTTGTGTACTTGTGTGTACCTGTGTTGTTTACCTGTGTGTATATCTGTGTTGTGTACCTGTGTTTATATCTGTGTGTGTACCTGTGTTGTTTACATGTGTGTACCTGTGTTGTGTACCTGTGTGTGTATCTGTGTTGTGTACCTGTGTTTATATCTGTGTGTGTACCTGTGTGTACCTGTGTTGTTTACCTTTGTGTACCTGTGTTGTTTACCTGTGTGTACCTGTGTTGTTTACCTGTGTGTACCTGTGTGCGTATCTGTGTGGTGTACCTGTGTGCGTATCTGTGTGTACCTGTGTTGTTTACCTGTGTTGTGTACCTGTTTGTGTACCTGTGTGTGTACCTGTGTTGTGTACCTGTGTTTATATATGTGTGTGTACCTGTGTGTGTATCTGTGTTGTGTACCTGTGTTTATATATGTGTGTGTACCTGTGTGTGTATCTGTGTGTGTACCAAAAAAAATGATGCAGAAAAACTAGTCCATGCATTTGTTACTTCTAGGCTGGATTACTGCAATTCCTTATTATCAGGCTGCTCGAAAAAGTCCATTAAGACTCTTCAGCTGATCCAGAATGCTGCAGCACGTGTTCTGACAGGAACCAGGAAAAGAGATCACATTTCTCCTGTTTTAGCTTCTTTGCATTGGCTTCCAGTAAAATCCAGAATAGAATTTAAAATCATTCTTCTTACCTAGAAAGCTCTTCATGGTCAGGCACCATCTTATCTTAAAGAGCTCATAGTACCTTACTACCCCACCAGAGCACTGCGCTCCCAGAATGCAGGGTTACTTGTGGTTCCTAGAGTCTCCAAAAGTAGACTAGGAGCCAGAGCGTTCAGCTATCAAGCTCCTCTCCTGTGGAACCAGGTTCCAGTTTGGGTTCAGGAGGCAGACACCATCTCCACATTTAAGAGTAGGCTTAAGACTTTCCTCTTTGATAAAGCTTATAGTTAGGGCTGGCTCAGGTGAGTCCTGAACCATCCCTTAGTTATGCTGCTATAGGCCTAGACTGCCGGGGGATTTCCCATGATGCACTGAGCTCCTCTCTCCTCTACTTTCTCTCCCTCTGTATGCAACCTTATCCCATTATTGCATGTTACTAACACAACTTCTCCCCTTTCTGGTAGTCTTGTGCTTTCTCGTCTCTCTCCTCTCTCCTCCTGTCACTTCCTGCAGGTTTTCTGGCTCTGGAGTTGTGGAGTCTGGATCTGTGGTTGCGGGTCACCTGCTGCCCCCGTGTTCCTGCTCGACACCCTCTGCTGCAACGACTATTGTTACTAGTCTTATTGTTATTATTGTTATTATAATCATTAACATTACGATGGTTACCATTAACACTACTATAAATATCTGTACCATTTTTCATTTAGTCTATAGCAACATTACCTTTACTGTGTGTACCTCTGTGTGTATATTGTGTAGGCTGCCTCCCTCCCCTCTCTCTCTCCTTACATCTCTCTCTCCTTACATCTCTCTCTCTCTCCTTACATCTCTCTCTCTCTCTCTCTCTCACCCCAACCGGTGGAGGCAGATGGCCGCCCACCCTGAGCCATGGTTCTGCTCGAGGTTTCTGCCTCTTAAAAGGAAGTTTTTCCTTGCCTCTGTCTCCTAGTGCTGCTCTTGGTGGGAACTGTTGGGCTTCTGTAAATATCATCATAGAGTACGGTCTAGACCTGCTCTTTTATGAAAAGCGCTGTGAGATAACTGTTGTTGTGATTTGGCGCTATATAAATAAAATTGAATTGAATTGAATTGAATTGAACCTGTGTGTACCTGTGTTGTTTACCTGTGTGTACCTGTGTGCATATCTGTGTGGTGTACCTGTGTGTACCTGTGTTGTGTACCTGTGTTTATATCTGTGTGTGTACCTGTGTGTTCCTGTGTTGTTTACCTGTGTGTACCTGTGTTGTGTACCTGTGTGTGTATCTGTGTGGTGTACCTGTGTTGTGTACCTGTGTGGTGTATCTGTGTTGTGTACCTGTGTTGTGTACCTGTGTGTGTACCTGTGTTGTTTACCTGTGTGTACCTGTGTTGTGTATCTGTGTTGTGTACCTGTGTTTATATCTGTGTGTGTACCTGTGTGGTGTACCTGTGTTGTGTACCTGTGTGGTGTATCTGTGTTGTGTACCTGTGTTGTTTACCTGTGTGTGTACCGGTGTGGTGTATCTGTGTTGTGTACCTGTATTGTGTATCTGTGTGTATATCTGTGTGCGTATCTGTGCTGTGTATCTGTGTGGTGTACCTGTGTTGTGTACCTGTTTGTGTATATCTGTGTGCGTACCTGTGTGGTGTATCTGTGTTGTGTACCTGTGTGTGTACCTGTATTGTGTATCTGTGTGTATATCTGTGTGCGTACCTGTGTGGTGTATCTGTGTTGTGTACCTGTGTGTGTACCTGTGTTGTGTACCTGTATTGTGTATCTGTGTGTATATATGTGTGCGTACCTGTGCTGTGTATCTGTGTGGTGTACCTGTATTGTGTATCTGTGTGTATATCTGTGTGCGTACCTGTGCTGTGTATCTGTGTGGTGTATCTGTGTTGTGTACCTGTGTGGTGTATCTGTGTTGTGTACCTGTGTGTGTACCTGTGTTGTGTACATGTGTGTGTATTTGTGTGGTGTACCTGTGTTGTGTACCTGTGTGGTGTATCTGTGTTGTTTACCTGTGTGCGTATCTGTGTGTGTACCTGTGTGTACCTGTGTGTGTATCTGTGTTGTGTACCTGTGTGTATACCTGTGTGTGTTAATGTTGTGTCAGTGTGTGTCACCTCCTCCAGCTTCCTGTGTCTGCGCTGCAGCTCGGCCTCCAGAGGAGAAATCTTCCTGCGAGCTTCGTCCTCCTGTTTCCTCTGCCGGATCAGCTGGTCCCTCTTCCTGGACTCCAGAACCCTCTGCAGCTCCGGCTTCCTCTCCACGCTGCCTCCCCCTCTAAACACACAGAGGTTACACTGTCACCTGATCCTTTTTACCAGAAATACTCGTCTGTCTGTGTCTTCGTGTGTCTCTGTGTGTCTGTCTTTGTGTGTCTGTTTGTGTGTGTCTCTGTTTGTGTCTCTGTGTGTCTTTGTGTGTCTGTCTGTGTCTGTGTGTGTCTCTGTGTGTCTCTGTGTGTGTCTCTGTGTGTCTCTGTGTGTGTATCTGTGTCTCTGTGTTTGTGTCTGTTTGTGTCTGTGTGTCTCTGTGTTTCTGTGAGTGTCTGTCTCTGTGTGTCTGTCTGTGTGTGTCTCTGTGTGTCTGTCTGTTTGTGTCTGTGTGTGTCTCTGTGTGTGTCTCTGTGTCTGTGTGTGTCTCTGTGTGTCTGTCTCTGTCTGTGAGTGTCTGTATCTGTGTGTCTCTGTGTGTGTCTGTGTCTCTGTGTGTCTGTTTGTGTCTCTGTGTCTCTGTGTGTCTTTGTGTGTCTGTCTGTGTCTGTGTGTGTCTCTGTGTGTCTCTGTATGTGTATCTGTGTCTCTGTGTGTGTCTGTGTGTCTCTGTGTTTGTGTCTGTGTGTCTCTGTGTTTCTGTGAGTGTCTGTCTCTGTGTGTCTGTCTGTTTGTGTCTGTGTGTGTCTGTATCTGTGTGTCTCTGTGTGTCTGTCTATGTGTCTCTGTGTGTCTGTTTGTGTCTCTGTGTGTCTGTTTGTGTCTCTGTGTCTCTGTGTCTCTGTGTCTGTGTGTGTCTCTGTGTCTGTCTGTGAGTGTCTGTCTATGTGTCTCTGTGTGTCTGTTTGTGTCTCTGTGTCTGTGTGTGTCTCTGTGACTGTCTGTGAGTGTCTGTCTCTGTGTGTCTGTCTGTTTGTGTCTCTGTGTCTGTCTCTGTGTGTCTCTGTGCGTGTCTCTGTGTCTGTGTGTGTCTCTGTCTCTGTCTCTGTGTATCTGTCTCTGTGTGTCTCTGTGTGTGTCTGTGTGTGTCTATGTGTCTCTGTGTGTCTGTTTGTGTCTCTGTGTGTGTCTCTGTGTGTCTGTCTGTTTGTGTCTCTGTGTCTGTCTCTGTGTGTCTCTGTGCGTGTCTCTGTGTCTGTGTGTGTCTCTGTCTCTGTGTGTCTGTCTCTGTGTGTCTCTGTGTGTCTCTGTGTGTGTCTGTGTGTGTCTATGTGTCTCTGTGTGTCTGTTTGTGTCTCTGTGTCTCTGTGTGTGTCTCTGTGTGTCTGTCTGTTTGTGTCTGTGTGTGTCTCTGTGTCTGTCTCTGTGTGTCTGTCTCTGTCTGTGAGTGTCTGTTTCTGTGTGTCTCTGTGTGTCTGTCTGTGTGTGTCTGTGTGTGTCTGTGTGTGTCTCTTTGTGTCTGTCTGTTTGTGTCTGTCTCTGTGTGTGTCTGTGTGTGTCTGTGTGTGTCTCTGTGTGTGTCTCTGTGTGTCTCTGTGTGTCTCACCTGATCCTTTTTACCAGAAATACTCGTCTGTCTGTGTCTTCGTGTGTCTCTGTGTGTCTGTCTTTGTGTGTCTGTTTGTGTGTGTCTCTGTTTGTGTCTCTGTGTGTCTTTGTGTGTCTGTCTGTGTCTGTGTGTGTCTCTGTGTGTGTCTCTGTGTGTCTCTGTGTGTGTATCTGTGTCTCTGTGTTTGTGTCTGTTTGTGTCTGTGTGTCTCTGTGTTTCTGTGAGTGTCTGTCTCTGTGTGTCTGTCTGTGTGTGTCTCTGTGTGTCTGTCTGTTTGTGTCTGTGTGTGTCTCTGTGTGTGTCTCTGTGTCTGTGTGTGTCTCTGTGTGTCTGTCTCTGTCTGTGAGTGTCTGTATCTGTGTGTCTCTGTGTGTGTCTGTGTCTCTGTGTGTCTGTTTGTGTCTCTGTGTCTCTGTGTGTCTTTGTGTGTCTGTCTGTGTCTGTGTGTGTCTCTGTGTGTCTCTGTGTGTCTCTGTGTGTGTCTCTGTGTCTCTGTGTGTGTCTGTGTGTCTCTGTGTTTGTGTCTGTTTGTGTCTGTGTGTCTCTGTGTTTCTGTGAGTGTCTGTCTCTGTGTGTCTGTCTCTGTGTGTGTCTGTCTGTGTGTGTGTCTGTGTATGTCTGTGTGTCTCTCTGTGTGTCTGTGTGTGTCTGTCTGTTTGTGTCTGTGTGTGTCTCTGTGTCTCTGTGTGTGTGTCTGTTTGTGTCTGTGTGTCTGTCTCTGTCTGTGAGTGTCTCTGTGTGTGTCTCTGCGTGTCTCTGTCTCTGTGTGTCTGTGTGTCTCTGTGTGTCTCTGTCTGTGTGTGTCTGTTTGTGTCTCTGTGTGTCTCTGTGTGAGTGTCCTGAGTGTGTCCTCCAGCAGAGGGCGCTCTGCTATAACTCCAGACTGAACGAACCCTTCTGGGTCTCAGACTTCCTCCTGACTCACGAGAGAGACGACCTCTGTGTTCACGCTCTGAGTGTTAACGAGTGTGGAGGTGAAAACTTTCCCAGCGTCCTTGGCGGCGCAGGCCTGGGAGGTGGGAGGCTGTTGCTTAGCAGCGGTGGAGACAAGGAAACCACCAAATCCTGCTCTGTGATTGGTCTGGGGGTGTCCAGACTGGAAACATGTTTTTATGTTAAGTCATGAACCCTCGATGACCTGGACCAGCTGTTTCCTGCAGCGAGTCAGAGAGCAGTGTCTCCTGATGGACAGGAAGAGGTGAGGCGAGTCTTCCTCCACCGCCATTACAAGCTCGCCTCACCTCTACTCGTCTTTCTAGGTTTTCCATTAGAGAAAAAACATGTCCTAAACCCGTCCTACCTTCTGTCCTCGCTTCCTAAACCCGTCCTACCTTCTGTCCTCGCTTCCTAAACACATCCTACCTTCTGTCCTTGCTTCCTAAACACGTCCTAAACCTCTCTTACCTTCTGTCCTCGCTTCCTAAACATGTCCTAAACACGTCCTACCTTCTGTCCTCGCTTCCTAAACACGTCCTACCTTTTGTCCTCGCTTCCTAAACATGCCCTACCTTCTGTCTTCGCTTCATAAACCCGTCTTACCTTCCGTCCTCCCTTCATAAACCCGTCCTAAACACGCCCTACCTTCTGTCCTCGCTTCTTAAACATATCGTACCTTCTGTCCTTGCTTCCTAAACACATCCTACTTTCTGTCCTTGCTTCCTAAACACATCCTACCTTCTGTCCTCGCTTCCTAAACTCATCATATTTTCTGTCCTTGCTTCCTAAACTCGTCATATTTTCTGTCCTTGCTTCCTAAACACACCCTACCTTCTGTCCTCGCTTCCTAAACTTGTCATACTTTCTGTCCTTGCTTCCTAAACACGCCCTACCTTCTGTCCTCGCTTCCTAAACACACAGTACCTTCTGTCCTCGCTTCCTAAACTTGTCCTACCTTCTGTCCTCCCTTCATAAACCCGTCCTAAACACGTCCTACTTTCTTTCCTCGCTTTCCAAACACATCCTACTTTCTATCCTCGCTTCCTAAACACATCCTACTTTCTTTCCTCGCTTCCTAAACACGTCCTACATTCAGTCCTCGCTTCCTAAACACATCCTACCTTCAGTCCTCGCTTCCTAAACACATCCTACCTTCAGTCCTTGCTTCCTAAACACGTCCTACCTTCTGTCCTTGCATCCTAAACACATCATACTTTATGTCCTTGCTTCCTAAACACGTCCTACCTTCTGTCCTCACTTCCTAAACACATGCTACCTTCTGTCCTCGCTTCCTAAACATGTCATACTTTCTTTCCTCGCTTCCTAAACATGTCATACTTTCTTTCCTCGCTTCCTAAACATGTCATACCTTCTTTCTTCGCTTCCTAAACACGTCCTACCTTCTGTCCTTGCTTCCTAAACATGTCATACTTTCTTTCCTCGCTTCCTAAACATGTCATACTTTCTTTCCTCGCTTCCTAAACACGTCCTACCTTCTGTCCTTGCATCCTAAACACGTCATACTTTCTGTCCTTGCTTCCCAAACACGTCCTACCTTCTGTCCTCACTTTCTTTCCTCGCTTCCTAAACATGTCATACTTTCTGTCCTTGCTTCCTAAACTCGTCATACTTTCTGTCCTTGCTTCCTAAACACATCCTACATTCTGTCCACACTTCCTAAACACGTCCTACCTTCTGTCCTCACTTCCTAAACACATCCTACCTTCTGTCCACGCTTCCTAAACACGTCCTACCTTCTGTCCTCGCTTCCTAAACACGTGCTACCTTCTGTCCTCGCTTCCTAAATATGTCATACTTTATTTCCTCGCTTCCTAAACACGTACTACATTCTGTCCTCGCTTCCTAAACATGTCATACTTTCTTTCCTCGCTTCCTAAACACATCCTACCTTCAGTCCTCGCTTCCTAAACACATCCTACCTTCAGTCCTTGCTTCCTAAACACGTCCTACCTTCTGTTCTCGCTTCCTAAATATGTCATACTTTATTTCCTCGCTTCCTAAACACGTACTACATTCTGTCCTCGCTTCCTAAACATGTCATACTTTCTTTCCTCGCTTCCTAAACACATCCTACCTTCAGTCCTCGCTTCCTAAACACATCCTACCTTCAGTCCTTGCTTCCTAAACACGTCCTACCTTCTGTCCTTGCATCCTAAACACATCATACTTTATGTCCTTGCTTCCTAAACACGTCCTACCTTCTGTCCTCACTTCCTAAACACATGCTACCTTCTGTCCTCGCTTCCTAAACATGTCATACTTTCTTTCCTCGCTTCCTAAACATGTCATACTTTCTTTCCTCGCTTCCTAAACATGTCATACCTTCTTTCTTCGCTTCCTAAACACGTCCTACCTTCTGTCCTTGCTTCCTAAACATGTCATACTTTCTTTCCTCGCTTCCTAAACATGTCATACTTTCTTTCCTCGCTTCCTAAACACGTCCTACCTTCTGTCCTTGCATCCTAAACACGTCATACTTTCTGTCCTTGCTTCCCAAACACGTCCTACCTTCTGTCCTCACTTTCTTTCCTCGCTTCCTAAACATGTCATACTTTCTGTCCTTGCTTCCTAAACTCGTCATACTTTCTGTCCTTGCTTCCTAAACACATCCTACATTCTGTCCACACTTCCTAAACACGTCCTACCTTCTGTCCTCACTTCCTAAACACATCCTACCTTCTGTCCACGCTTCCTAAACACGTCCTACCTTCTGTCCTCGCTTCCTAAACACGTGCTACCTTCTGTCCTCGCTTCCTAAATATGTCATACTTTATTTCCTCGCTTCCTAAACACGTACTACATTCTGTCCTCGCTTCCTAAACATGTCATACTTTCTTTCCTCGCTTCCTAAACACATCCTACCTTCAGTCCTCGCTTCCTAAACACATCCTACCTTCAGTCCTTGCTTCCTAAACACGTCCTACCTTCTGTTCTCGCTTCCTAAATATGTCATACTTTATTTCCTCGCTTCCTAAACACGTACTACATTCTGTCCTCGCTTCCTAAACATGTCATACTTTCTTTCCTCGCTTCCTAAACACATCCTACCTTCAGTCCTCGCTTCCTAAACACATCCTACCTTCAGTCCTTGCTTCCTAAACACGTCCTACCTTCTGTCCTTGCATCCTAAACACATCATACTTTATGTCCTTGCTTCCCAAACACGTCCTACCTTCTGTCCTCACTTTCTTTCCTCGCTTCCTAAACATGTCATACTTTCTGTCCTTGCTTCCTAAACTCGTCATACTTTCTGTCCTTGCTTCCTAAACACATCCTACATTCTGTCCACACTTCCTAAACACGTCCTACCTTCTGTCCTCACTTCCTAAACACATCCTACCTTCTGTCCACGCTTCCTAAACACGTCCTACCTTCTGTCCTCGCTTCCTAAACACGTGCTACCTTCTGTCCTCGCTTCCTAAACATGTCATAATTTCTTTCCTCGCTTCCTAAACATGTCATACTTTCTTTCCTCGCTTCCTAAACACGTCCTACCTTCTGTCCTTGCATCCTAAACACGTCATACTTTCTGTCCTTGCTTCCCAAACACGTCCTACCTTCTGTCCTCACTTTCTTTCCTCGCTTCCTAAACATGTCATACTTTCTGTCCTTGCTTCCTAAACACATCCTACATTCTGTCCACACTTCCCAAACACGTCCTACCTTCTGTCCTCGCTTCTTAAACTCGTCATACTTTCTGTCCTTGCTTCCTAAACACGTCCTACCTTCTGTTCTCGCTTCCTAAATATGTCATACTTTCTTTCCTCGCTTCCTAAACACGTACTACATTCTGTCCTCGCTTCCTAAACATGTCATACTTTCTTTCCTCGCTTCCTAAACACATCCTACCTTCTCTCCTCCCAGTTGTAGTCAAACAGTCTCGTACCGTTTGCAGCTGCTCATCAGCTCGCGGTGAAGCTCCTGGTGACTTTTTGAAGCTTTGACAGGATTCACCAGCTTCTTGGGTTTTATGAGATCTTCATCCTCGTTTCCCTCATGGTAGTCCGGCTGGGGGACGTAGCTGGACACGGGGGACGGTTTCCTGTGGATGCCCTCAGACCGGTGCTGCTGCAGGTCTGCATATGCGGAGGCTGCCGACACAAGCAGGATAACATTCAGGTTACATGGACTCAAACATCTCACATCAAATACAAACTCCCTGCTCTCCAGAGGACGGGCCCTTCAGACTGACTCCATGATGTTCCCCCAGGACAAACCGGACACTCTGAGTTAAGGTTGAGTGAAAGGTCAGGATGTGGCCTGTGAACTGGCCATGACGTCACGTGGTGTCTCTTTGAGTTTCTGTCCGCCGTCTGACAGAAGAAAGGACAGATTAACGGGCATCTGATCCGAGTCCTCAGATATTCTGGGAGACGGCGATCAGATGTCATACAGTTCACTTCAAACAATGACCCCTTTCTCAAGTGCAACCAGAGACCGACTTCCTCTGCTGCTTCATATTTCACAAAAATGAAGCGAGCTCTGAGAAACACAGCTGCAGCACCTGGCCAAAAGTATGTGGACAGCTGCTCTGACTCTTCTGGTCTCAGGTTTTTCTCCAGATGTTGAACCTGGCTGGGAGCCAGTGATTTAGGAGGATGACAATGAGCTGCTGAACTGTTACAGAAGAAATATTTCATATTAATTTGAATATATCACAAAAAACTAAAAGTCTTTGGGTTCTAGAAATGAAGACGTCTTTTTGACAAAGAGGGACATTTTAAAGTACTCTTGTGTGTTCCTGAATCTGACTGTGCTGTTTGGACTCTGATTCAACACTCAGCCAGAGTCAGGATGGTTTAAAGGTCCCAGTATGAGCTTTATTCTGCGCCCTGAAACCTGAGCCAGACGTTAGGCAGGTATCTGACACCTGTACCTGAGTATTAGTGTTTAAATCCTCTTCAGAGTAAACCTACAAAGGGGCTGACCCAGCAGGTGCTGCCCTCCACCAACGCTCAGTCCTCTTTTGTCTCGTGTGACCACACAGACATGCTTCTACTGTAATCAGTGCAGCTGCATTCAAGTGTATTATGTACATATCTACATTGAGGATCCACTGATGGAGGGCGGAAGCTGCTGCTTCACCACGAGGCCGGTGTCGAGACGTGTTCCTGAGGCAGTTTATAGTCACTCTGTGGAGACCGGACCGACGTGTTAGCAGCTCTGTATGCTCTGTGGTTTGAATGTTAGTTTCACTCCTGTCTTCCTGTTTCATTTCACATTAAAAGCTTCCCATTGGCGAACCAGCAGGAGGCTTTTATTGTGAAGACATTACAGGAAACACAAAGTGTTTATCTTGGAGTTAGTGAGCTACGTTAGCGGTGCTTTTCTTCAATAAAAACAGGTCAAGGTGACCAGTTATGGATGTATTCTTCAGTATTTTGTCACAGGGAGGAAACAGTCCAAACAGCCAGAGAGCTGAAGGACCATCAGACCTCCAACACCTCAGCCAGGTGAACAGATTTACCTGGAAAACTACCTGCAGCTCAGCACGACTCACAGATGGAGGCCGAACAACATTTCTGATCCGTGTGGGATCAGCTTCAGGACCGAGCTTCTGCTCCTCCACGTTTCCACATCACATCAGCAGAGCAGAGATTCTACAAACGTTCTGATTGGATGATTCTTACACCAATGCAATGCTTTCTGGGACTTTGTTTCTTCTCAGAGTTTCGATTCAGCAGCAGAGCTGGATCAGAGGGCAGCAGGGAGTCTGGACTCTGAGATATTCTGTGGTTTCATATTGATCAGAGACAGGACGTGCAAACCAAACCCTGTGTGGTTTATCGACGTCTCTGTGAGTGCATGTTATCTGGTTACAAGCCGTGTTTCTGCTTTAGCCTGAGGAAGACTGTCTGCCTCCACCTCAGCCAGGAGGAAATGTGATCATGTTATACCTTCTTGTCAGAAGATAATGTCTTAATTCATTCATTCTGAGAAAAGGAGTTTCTAAATCACATCAAACCTGCAGCTGCAAAGTGCTGAAAGCGTCTGAAACCAAAAACATCTCGTATCATCTGTGAGTCGAAAAAATAAACCTCTTCCTGCACCTTCTGAAGTGACTCCAGGATCATTTCACAAATTTTACAAGCGATACCCTGCAACCGAAACTGTACGTGGTTCTTTAGGTTTCTAAATTCTCAGTCGTCCCAACACCATCAACAATAACAATAAGCGTAATAAGTAGTTCTGGCTGTGAAACAACATCTGAACAATTTAAAGATAATCTCAGATTTAATGAAATTAGACCAAAATCTACAGTGTAAATAAAAGTCTCTTTGGGTTTTTGGTCTCTTGCCTGAAAGATAAGTAGGTCTCTGGTGCTGTGATAACTGTTCAAACACAACAGGCTGAGGTCTGCTTTCCGCTAACATGAACTCTCAGGTCACAAACTGACTGTCGCAACCAGTCAGGCTGCGCAGCGATCGATCTGCTCCTCGAAAAACTACCCACAACTTTACTTAGTTTGTGAACCTGTTAACTGTTCACCAGAAAATCTAAACCAGGACTCAAACTCCAGACATTAAGAGACAGATCTGAATGTTGTTTTTGACCAGCACCTCGGTCACTTTGGGTTGTGTTTAAATGTCCTCCAGCTCTGCAGGACACCACGTTCTTTTACTTCTTCTGAAAATCTTTTATTACATAAGAATCTCAGCACAGAATCTGAACTCCCACTCACATCAAGTTTCTCTGCCAGCAGTGACTCCATCTTCACCATCCTACGCTCATCACGCTGCTTCATTAACAGTTAGCAGAAGCGTGCTCTCCAACACGACTCCGGACTGAATTATTCATGAAATAAATCTACAAGCAGAAATATTCAATACAAGTACACCGCCTGCAGTAGATAGAAAGTATTACTCATGAAGTCTCCAGGTACAATTTGGAGGTACTTCACTGGAATATTTTCATCTTACGCTACTGTTCTTCTATAGTTCCTGGAGGTAGTTGTTGGTTTCAGTAACGTTTTATACACAAACCAATCAAAAGCTCTCAGCAGCTGATGCAGTGTTGTAGAATATTTACCCAACAGCAGATCACAGTACTCCATGAAACGACCTCGACCAACTACAATATTAAAATGCTGCTCACAAACACACATCTGTACAAACAACCCAGTAACAATACGCTGTATATTAATATAACACTCACACCACTTTGTTGTATTTAAGTGAAGTTTAAAGTATTTTTACTCTCTCTTATTAATACTTTTACTTGACTAAAGGATGTGAATACTTCCTCCACCACTGTGGACCCCAACAATCTGTACAGCCTCGTGTTCAAGTCCTCAAATAATAAACAACATAACAAAATAAATTATATCAATAAAAAAAGAAATTCACTTCTTAAAACAACAAATAATCTCCAGCTAAACAAGTTTTTTATTCCTAAATTAACTGTTTTTAATTCCAGTTCCAAAAATGACAATAAAAAAAACAGATTTTTTATTATTAATAAGTAACTTATTTCCAGAGAAAGTTTCTGCACAGAGCAGGTTTCTGCTTTTTATATCTGTGCGTCTGTTGTCTGTGCCCAGACGATTTAAAAGGAAACCTGAAGAATAAAACTCAGAGACACAGTGAACAGAGAAACTCCCCGTCAGCTCCAATCTGAGCTCCTGCAGAAACAGACTCAGGAGGATCCAGGATCAGTCAGTCCCCCTCTGGTTCTTACCGGACTTTACCATCCCCTCCCTGGCTGTGGTGGGCTGTTCTGGACTCATCCTCTGAGCCATCTGATCCCCGTCCTGGTGTTTCAGTCTGTGTGACCCTTCATGCTCTCTGTACAAGCAGCAGCGCTCATCTCCTCCCGACTGAATCATGGAGAGTGTAAAACAACGGTCACATGATCCTCCTCCTCCTCCTCCTCCTCCTCTCAGCCTTTTCCCACGCTGCCCTCAGCTTCAGTTCAGTTTCAAGCTTCAGCAGGTTTCAAGGGTTTGAGATTTCTGAAGCCAGCAGAGTTGTGATCCTGACCTGGAGGTGGCGCTGAAACAACACCAGGGTTCATCCTCTGGTGAGTCTGACCTGCTCAACAAAGTGATCATATTTCTGAATGTATAACCTGATAATAAGCTGATTATCACTGAACAGTTCGCCACAGATTCATCCTGTGACCAAGCAGGAACCTCCGGCTCTCACGACTGAAGCTGACGCTGAAGCCCCTTAAACCTGCGTCCTCTCCAGCAGCCAGCAGGGGGCGACTCCAGCGGCTGCAGAAAGAAGTCTCTGAGAAAATGTTTCTCCTTCTCAGCTGATTTATTCCCTCAGTAAACACTTTCCTGATGAGTTTATGGTCTCAGTCGCTAGTTTCAAGTCTTCTTCAACACAGCATGATGTTCATTTAGTAAATTATGGTCCCATTTAGAGGAACAGAGACCAGGAAGCAGGGGAGGCTTTAGGGCGGGGCTACAAGCTGAATGACGACCTGTCAATCAGGATAGAGTCAATTCCGGTTTGTTTCAAGCCTTTTTGTCGCGAGCTAAAATTAGCATCCCAGCTAATATCACAGCTAACGTGAATTACAGATGCACCTTGCTAACCAAGCTAACTAGCTCCACCCTCTCTTCCATATATGGTCATGTCTGGTTCCTGGTTGGAAAAAATCAACATGGCCGAACTGCCAAACCTGAAGCTTCAAAACAGAGACTACAGAGGTGTGTGACTCCACGTCAACAGACTCACCAGTGCTACTGCAGAGACAGGATCAGGAGACTTCATGCAGTCATGTCTCTGAAGTCCTGAACCCACCGGGGACCTGTGTGAACCAGCTGACTGCAGGACGTTTAGGTCATCGATCAGTCACTCGCTCTGCTTCTGGGTTAACTCCCACATTTCACATTAAACTCCCTCTCACATGCAGCGTCTCTGACATTCTGAGCCAACAGGCCACACAGAGCACGCTCCCAGGGTGCACCTGTTCTCTCTTCAAACTCACCTCTGCCATTTGGATGCTTTCCATTTTTCACACACTGCTGCTTCGGGGGAGGCTCGTGGTCGATGCTGTACGCCTTCTGGAAAACAAAGAAGAGGAGAAGGTAAGGAAGTGATGTAAGAAGTGGCAGAGCGAGGACACCTGGAGGCGGGACGAGACCTCACCTGCTGTTTCTGTTTCAGGTAACAGAGTTCAGGTGCTGGTGGAGAAACTACAGACCGAAGGGTGGACCGAAGCTGTGATTCAGCACTTTGGGTCAAACGAACAAAACCAGGGTCGCTCGAGTTAACTATCGAACATTAAGGTCAAAATCAGGTCCCATGGTGGTCTGCTGAAGGAGGGGGGGGTATATATAAGAGCTGGTGGGAGGAGGAGAGCGCTGTTGTCGGTTTGGACCGTTTCCTGGAACAGAACCAGAACAGTCCACAACAACAGAACCCAGTGAGGACATTTCTCAGACACAGCTCCTTCTGAGACACTAAGGCTCCGCCCACGCTCCTACGTCTGCCTTGAAAACTCAGACCTGCTGCTGCGTTTCCTCCCGTCCAGACAGAAACTGCAAATCCAAAGATATTAAAATATTCTGCACTGTGTAAATAACACTTCTACACTTGTACTCTTCTCCCGGTCTGTTTCCCGCCGCCACAGTCTCTCTGTCCTCCCATGTTCCTCGCAGTAACAGTTCCACCTCTCTGTCGCTCCGTGCAGAGAAATCTCTGCTGTGGTTCTTCACCATCGCTGTTCTGCTTTCGTCTCTAGTAGAACTTTCTTCTGCAGCTGCGGAGTAGACAATCTGCTTCCTGTTTACACCGCACATGCCCAGTGTACGTGAACGGTCACGTGATGTTTTCAGTCATAGACAGAGATCAGTTCTGATATGCAGTGAGGATGGAGATCGACTTTGTTTTAAAACTCTGTTTTAGAACAGAAACGTAGTGTGGAAATAGAACCTGGAGGCACCTGGAGGCACCTGGAGACACCTGGAGACACCTGGAGGCACCTGGAGTCACCTGGAGTCACCTGGAGACACCTGGAGGCACCTGGAGACCAGCTGAGGTGGAGTTCATATTTTACAACACGTTTCCTTCACAACACATCAGCTGTTCAGATCATAGAAACGTTTGAGAGTGCAGGGTTCCTTTAAATGCTCCTTTAACAACATTCAAAACAACTTCACCTTCAAGCCCCCGTCCCCCCGTCCCCCCTCCCCCGGGTGTTTCTCAGCCGCTCGCCTCCTTTCAGACTCCGGGTCAGTTGGACGGTGTTCCCTCTGACTGAATAGACTTTGTGTTGGTTGCTAGGAGAGACTTCAGGCTTCAACATGGTGACAAGGACCTCACTGTCCCTCAGACCCCCCAGTCCTGAGGAGGGGTGCTCTGAGTAGGGGGGGTCTGTGGAGGTGACCTGAATGCTGAAGTCTGATCTGAGAAAAGGTTCCTGAAGGCGCCTTTTCTGTCCCTCGTGCTCTGGCTCCTCCCCAGGTTGAATCAGTTCAGGCTGCAGAGCTGACCTGAGCACAGTCTGCCCCCTGCTGGACGCACAGCAACATTACAGCTCTGACAGCACACAGGCCGGTGGGAGGAAAACAGCAGCCTGCGAGCCAAACCAGGGCTCCAAAAAACACAACGCTGTTTTAGAAGAGCTGTTATAATATAATCCCAAAAGATGCTGGAAACATTTTCATTGTTACTGGTAGATTTTTCATTCATTAATGAGTAAAGTGGCTCGTTGAGAGTAACACTTTAATTCTTACTAGTAAAAATAGATTAGATACTAGAACCTAATGAATAGATACTAGAACCTAATGATACTGGAACCTAATGATACTGGAACCTACTGATACTACAGCCTAATGAATAGATACTAGAACCTAATGAATAGATACTAGAACCTAATGATACTGGAACCTAATGATACTACAGCCTAATGAATAGATACGACAGCCTAATGAATAGATACTACAACCTAATGAATAGATACTACAACCTAATGAATAGATACGACAGCCTAATGAATAGATACTACAACCTAATGAATAGATACTACAACCTAATGATACTAGGACCTAATGAATAGATACGACAACCTAATGAATAGATACTACAACCTAATGAATAGATACTACAACCTAATGATACTACAGCCAAATGAATAGATACTACAACCTACTGATACTACAGCCAAATGAATAGATACTACAACCTACTGATACTACAGCCTAATGAATAGATACTACAACCTACTGATACTACAGCCAAATGAATAGATACTACAACCTACTGATACTACAGCCTAATGAATAGATACTACAACCTAATGAATAGATACTACAACCTACTGATACTACAACCTAATGAATAGATACTACAGCCTAATGAATAGATACTACAACCTACTGATACTACAGCCTAATGAATAGATACTACAACCTACTGATACTACAGCCTAATGAATAGATACTACAACCTACTGATACTACAACCTAATGAATAGATACTACAGCCTAATGAATAGATACTACAACCTACTGATACTACAGCCTAATGAATAGATACTACAACCTACTGATACTACAGCCTAATGAATAGATACTACAACCTACTGATACTACAGCCTAATGAATAGATACTACAACCTAATGAATAGATACTAAAACCTAATGAATAGATACTACAACCTAATGAATAGATACTAAAACCTAATGAATAGATACTGGAACCTAATGATACTAGAACCTAATGAATAGATACTACAACCTAATGAATAGATACTAAAACCTAATGAATAGATACTGGAACCTAATGATACTAGAACCTAATGAATAGATACTACAACCTAATGAATAGATACTACAGCCTAATGAATAGATACTAAAACCTAATGATACTAGAACCTAATGAATAGATACTACAGCCTAATGAATAGATACTACAGCCTAATGAATAGATACTAAAACCTAATGAATAGATACTGGAACCTAATGATACTACAGCCTAATGAATAGATACTGGAACCTAATGATACTAGAACCTAATGAATAGATACTACAGCCTAATGAATAGATACTACAGCCTAATGAATAGATACTAAAACCTAATGAATAGATACTGGAACCTAATGATACTAAAACCTAATGAATAGATACTACAACCTAATGAATAGATACTACAACCTAATGATACTAGAACCTAATGAATAGATACTACAGCCTAATGAATAGATACTACAGCCTAATGAATAGATACTAAAACCTAATGATACTAGGACCTAATGAATAGATACGACAGCCTAATGAATAGATACTACAACCTAATGATACTACAACCTAATGAATAGATACTGGAACCTAATGATACTACAGCCTAATGAATAGATACTACAGCCTAATGAATAGATACTACAACCTAATGATACTAGGACCTAATGAATAGATACGACAGCCTAATGAATAGATACGACAGCCTAATGAATAGATACGACAACCTAATGATACGACAGCCTAATGAATAGATACTACAACCTAATGATACTACAACCTAATGAATAGATACTACAACCTAATGATACTACAACCTAATGAATAGATACTACAACCTAATGATACTAGGACCTAATGAATAGATACTACAACCTACTGATACTACAGCCTAATGAATAGATACGACAGCCTAATGAATAGATACTACAACCTACTGATACTACAGCCTAATGAATAGAAACTACAACCTACTGATACTACAGCCTAATGAATAGATACTACAGCCTAATGAATAGATACTAAAGCCTAATGAATAGATACTGGAACCTAATGATACTAGAACCTAATGAATAGATACTACAACCTAATGAATAGATACTACAGCCTAATGAATAGATACTAAAACCTAATGATACTAGAACCTA